ACACTCATGGACCAGGCCCAGGCTTCCTGGAAAAGTACTGGCCTGAAGTCCGCAGAGAAGAGGGTGTGGGGTTGATGGTTAATCCGTCCTGGGCGGGTCACCTGCAGATGCTTCACGGGGCTCCAGCCCTTCGAACATCTGCAGGGGGTGGGGTGCAGGGTGTGTGCTGTGATCTGGACGCCACTGCCCTGTGTGTGTGCTTGGTGCCCTAGGAGGGTGGGACCCCAGCACCCCAGGGTCTCAGTGCCCCACACAGGCAGGGTCAGGTGGGCAGGTGGGGAGACCCTGGTCCATGCCAGGGGGAGACAAGCCAGCCCTGCACAGCATGCTGACAGTGATTTCCAACGATGTCCAGCAGGGAGACCCTGAACCTCCATGGTACCATCCCCAGATGCTGCCCCACACTTAGACCACAGAGCCAAGTGGAGGAGACTATCCCAGGGCCGAGGCTGGAACAGATGCACAAACAAGGAGTTCACCGAGCCATGCTGACAGCAGCTGAGAACAGGAGCAATGTCCCTGTCCACCCAGGGGACCCGGCTGGAGCTCTGTGCATGGGACAGCCCAGGCGTGGTCTCCAAGGCTGTTCCCAGTGTGAGAGAAGCACAGTGCTGCATGAGCAAACACGTGTGTTCCTTCAGATGCACATGCGATGCACACGTATGTATGTGCATTCAGAAGATGCCAAGCTGAAAACCCAGGATCATCTGCAGATGACGCAAACCCACTTGGCTCATATCTGCATTTTCCAAATGTGGCAGAAGTCTCAGATGTCCAGGGTGCTCGCTATTTTTTGAGGTGAGGTCTGGCTGCGCTGCCCACTTGCGCAGGCTGAGCTTGAACTTCCAGGCTGGAGCGGTGTCCGCCTTGGGTTCCCACAAGCTTCCTGCCACCCCAGCTGTGAGGCAAGACCAGTGTCCTGACCCGGGGATCCCAGGGCTGGTTCCTCAGAGATCCAGTCAGGGACTGGCCATCCTGATGCCCATGGTCACCCAGGCAGGAGTGCTGTTCCACGGAGCAAGGACAGCTCCGTGGGGCAGCAGCCTGGTGACCACAGCACGGGCCAGGCCCTCTAGGCGTGACGCCCTGTGGCCTGGCCGCCAGCACGGAGACATCTGTCCCCCACACACCCGCCCTCGGCCCCATCTGTGTCCCTTCTCCACAGAGACAGGCCCTAGGAAATAAAGGCAACGGCCACAAACGACCAGAGCCCCCTGGGCGGAGCTGGGCTGATCTCAAGCTTAGCTTAGGCAGAGTCAGCAGTGCTGCGGGGCGGGGCATCCGGCCTCTCGTGACTCCCGGGCTGCTGCTGCCCAGCAGCTTGGACTGCAAACAGCGCTCCCCCGAGCAACCGCCCACTCCAGACAAAGGTTAATGCTCCCAGGTCACAGCCGCCCATGGTCCTTTCCCAGCACTGCCATGGCACCCTGCACAGCCACTAAGCAGATGGCCTCCCTGCCAAAGGCCCAGGCCACCCCTCCCGCACAGGCCCCTTCTCCTGAGCTCACCATGGGGAGAGCAGTGCTTTCTGGGGCCACCACCTTTCTGTTTCTGTCCCTGTGACCCCAGCCGTGCTCCCCACCGCCATCTGGGGAAACAGTTGCCGCTGTGCCAGTGGGACCCTGAACATCACCTCTGTCACCCCTTCGCGCGCCCCGCCCTGCACAGCTAACCCAGGACTGCAGGGCTCCAGTGCGAGACAGCAGACACCTGAGCGCTGGACACAGGGAGGGTCCTGTCCCCCAGGGCCGCGCAGCCAGTGGAGGTGCCTGCAGGGTGCACCTGGGTGGATGTGGAGGACGGACGGAGAGCAGGGGCGCCGGTGGCCTGGTTTCCTCTGTGCTCCCCTGCCCTGCACTCTAGCAGCAGCCCACAGGATGTGTGAGAGGGGCTCTCAGCACCCCACGGGGCATGGGCGTCACAGGTGCCCCCCGAAGGCCAGTGGGTCTGTGTGGGTCCCTCCACACCACAGAGTCCCAACCATGAGTCAGGCTGGATGGCACAGCCTAAGGGGGCAATGTAGGGTGTACAGACCGTGTCCACCTGGCCATCAAGGTGCTGTCCCCAACCACAGCCTCAGAGGGGACAGGTGGGCTTTCACCTGCTTCAGTGGGCAGGCTGTGGGCAGATATGACTAGGGTTCTGGTCACAGACGCTGAGGTCACCCCAGAACAGAGGCTCCAAGTGAGCAAGTCGCAGACCCTCTGGTCCTAGGCAGCCAGGGCCTTTGCCCCTTCATGGGTGCGCAGTAAGCTTGGGTACATCTGAACCACCTTTCTCCAGAGCAGGAAGCAGACAGAGCTGGGGTGGGTGTGGCTCAGCCTTGAGCACTGCTCAGCACAACCCTCCTGTCTCAGCCTCCCAGAGCATTACAGGGCTGGGTGTGCCACCACGCCCAGCTATAATTCAATTTTACAGAGCCTCTGGGTGCTGTGTGTCTGTCTGCAGGGAGGAGGGCCCCACAGCCCCTCAAGGCACAGCCAACAGAGACCTCCAACAGAGACCTCCGAGCAGGAAGCCTTCACTGCCTGGGCTCTGGGGCTCCAAGGCCCGGGCAAACATAGACACCCCACACAGAGAACCCAAGCAAGCAGGAGCAAGGCGCTTCCTTCCCAGGCAACTGCAAGGCAAGTCTAGCAAGGGTATTGGCAAGGAAAATGTAATGGAAGTTGTATTTCAAAACAAATGTATCAACGGGTGAGCGTGTGGGAGGCTGAGGCAGGAGGATCACTGAGTTTGAGGCCAGCCTGGGCTATGTAGTAAAAACTGATCTCCAAAAAAAAGAAAAAGACTGAAAACAAATGAGAGTTAAAATTCAAGGAATTTCATAAAATAATGAAAGGAAAATTCCCAAGGTACAGTGCTAAGTAAAACCCACATGCAGAGCTGAGCATGGGGGCCATATACCTGTAATCACAGCACTGTGGGAGGGTCACATGTTCAAGAACATCCTAGGCAACTTAGCAAGACACTGTTTCCAAAAAGTAGAAAAGGTCTGAGGATGAGCTCAGCATGGGGGTTCTGGGTTCTACACCCACAACTGAAAACCACAGACCTCAGGATTTGCAGGGAATCAAACACCTCAACAGCCGAGGCCAGACAGCCTCCCCGGAGCCTGGGTCTCCCCTCTGTGGGGCAGGCACTGCACAGCATGGTGCCAGCAGCCAAGGGGTCCCTAGGCTGTGGGGAGGACACAGGTGCAGAGGCCCTGGGAGTCCACCATGCCACCCATGGTTGCCCCAGATGTCTGCCCCGTGGGTGGTGCCAGCGACCTGCGCAGGGCTGTGGCCCTTGCTTTCAGAGGGCTAGTCTAATTATTTTCCAGTACAGCTCCAGTGAACGCCAGAGGCTCACAGGGTTCGGCCCCTGTTTAGACAGGGACCGGCCATCAGGAAAGCTGTGGGTGGCCACTGTATCACTGTCCCTGCTGGACCAGCCAGACTACTGTGAGGTGGGGCAGGATGGAGACCCAGATGCCCTGGCTAGGCCATGAACACACCCCGAGGAGAAGACTGGCCCCTTGGCTGCCCTGGGGGATGAACTGCAGAGGAGACAGCATAGGAGGACAGGGGGAGCCCCGGTGCTGGTCGGGCGCTGACCCTCACCAGGGCTGCCTAAGGAGTCTCTGCCAGGGCAGGCAGCATCCTTCTCAGCACTAGAGAGTCCCTGGGTTCCCTTTGGGGTGGCAGAGGTCACTAGAGGCCCAAGAGTCATCAAGGCTGGGACATCCAGTCGTGAGACTAGAGGGAGGGATGTCCACAGCAGGGCCACCTGGGCAGGAACACTAGGCCCACAGGAGCCCAAGCTCTGCACCCCCCCCACCGGTGCCAGCCTCTGCGGCCATCTCCGGTCTTCTCAGGAAACAGCAGGGTGTGGACGCTGCGGATTTGCAGGGATTTACACACAGGATGTGGGGTTCAGTGCACCAGGGCCCCGATGCTCAGGGGTCTGGGCCGGCCTGGCTGTCCTCCCTGCTGCCCAGGCAGAAGCTTCTAGAAGTCTGGGGGGGCGGGGAGAAAGCCCCAGTGCCTGGGCCAGAGCTGTGTAGCAGGGGCCCTGCCTCTGCTAGACCTCACCCTGCTCATGGCCCTGGGCTGGAATAGCCTTGCTGTTCACAACGTCCTGCCTGCACCACCACAGCCTGGGGGTTGGGGTCTGCCCCAGGCAGGTCTGCCTCTGGCCCTGCCTTTGTCTCATGTCTGTATCTCTGTCCCTGAGTCCCTGTCTATTTCTATCTCTGTGCATCTTTGTCTCTCTGTCTCTGTGTGTCTCTGTATTTCTGTCTGTTTCTGTCTCTGCATCTTTGTCTCTGTCTGTATGTGTCTCTGTCTCTGTCTCTGCAGCAGTGTCTCCAGAGGCCCCATCCCCACCCCCGTCCACACAAGTCAGTTGATCCCAATGTCTTGATCTTTTCCTGAGGCCTCCACCCTTTCTGAGCTCCCTGTGGGCAGGGGCGAAGGTCAGGGCCTGGACCTGCTCGGCCTTGAGCAGAGACCCTTACCCTCCTCGCAGAGGGGACACCCTGCCCAGTCATTGTCATGCTGCAGTTCAGTGCTGTGGGTTCTGGGAAGGGGCAGGGGACAGCTGAGGGAGGGCTATGAGACCCCTACTCACCTGGGAGGGAGACTCCCAAGGGGGCAGTAGGGAAGCTAGGGAGCCACCTCGAGTGCCACTCTGCCTCTACCTTGGTCCCCGCCCTGGCCTCAGGTAGGAAGGTCAGACAGGGTGTCATCCTTCCGCTTCTCTGGTGCCCAGCACTCAGCCCCAAGAACCCCGCTGCTGACCCCTCCTGGGCTTGGAGTCTCCATTAGTCAGGGTCCAGCCCGTTCTGGGGGCTGGGCTGGGACCCCCAGTGCCACTGTGTGCAACCAGATCCAGGGTAGAGAGGCAGGATCCCTCCTGGCGTGGCTGCTGCATGTCTGTGCAGGGGGAGGAGTCAGGCAGGATGGGGGTGGGGGCAGCTCAGACCTAGCCTGCCTCACAGATAAGGCATTAACAGCGCAGGACGCGCCCCATGGATTTGCTGACGCCTCCTTTCACCCAGGTGCCTGGGGCGAGGTGCCAAAGGTTCCCTATAAAGCACCCGGGCTCCGCCACTCGCCCACTCCAGCTCTGTCTCACACACCAGCCTGGCTCAGCCAGCGACCACCATGGTGCGGCTTGTGCTGCCCAATCCTGGCCTGGAGGACCGGATCCCGTCCCTGGATGCACTGGACACCATCGAGAAGGATGCCGGCTCCCGGCCCCAGTGGGACAACAAGGCCCAGTACATGCTGACCTGCGTGGGCTTCTGCGTGGGACTGGGCAACGTGTGGCGCTTCCCCTACCTGTGCCAGAGTCATGGAGGAGGTAGGCCACACTGGGCTGTGTGGGGGGCAGTGAGAGCAGCCCATACTGTCAGCTCCTCAAAGACACAGGTGGGGTCCCCAAACACTTGCCACTCTCCAAGGACACAGGTGGAGTCCCCAAACACCCTCGGCTCCCTGAAGACACAGGTGGGGTCCCCAAATACCCTCCACTTTCCAAGGACACAGGTGGGGTCCCCAAACACCCTCAGCTCCCCAAGGACACAGGTGCGGTCCCCAAAACCCTCGGCTCTCCAAGGACACAGGTGGGTCCCCAAATACCCTCAGCTCCCCAAAGACACAGGTGGGGTCCCCAAACACCCTCCACTCTCCAAGGACACAGGTGGGGTCCCCAAACACCCTCAGCTCCCCAAGGACACAGGTGGGGTCCCCAAACACCCTCCACTCTCCAAGCACACAGGTGGGGTCCCCAAACACTCTCGGTTCCCCAAGGACACAAGTGGGGTCCCCAATACCCTTGGATCTCCAAGAACACAGGTGGGGTCCCCAAACACCCTCGGCTCTCCAAGGACACAGGTGGGATCCCCAAACACTCTCGGTTCCCCAAGGACACAAGTGGGGTCCCCAATACCCTTGGATCTCCAAGAACACAGGTGGGGTCCCCAAACACCCTCGGCTCCCAAGGACACAGGTAGAGGTCTCACAAACCCTCAGCACACTGAGGTTACAGGTGGGACCCCCACAAACCCTGAGTATTCAAAGTCACAGTGGGGTCCACTCACACCCTCACTCTGGAGGTCACAGAAAGAGTCCCACTTATCCTCTGCACCCTGAGGTCACACACTGTCCCACAAACCCTTAGCTTTGAGACCGCAACAGGGCCCCCATGTTCCCACCGCCAGAGCTCGGATCCCATGTACGTCAGCACCCCATTTACAGAGTGAGCAGGAAGCGTGAGAAGCCAGGCTGAGTCCAGGGCTGAGAGGGAGCAGAAGAGGGGGTGGGCCGGGTGGGGCCCCTCAGTGTGGGGCGGGCAGCAGAGCAGGGCAGCAGCGCTGTCCCTGCCATCGGCGGGCCTGGGGACAGCTTCCCTGTCTCGGTCGCTCCCTCCCCCAGCTGCAAAGGGCCTGCCCGTGTGGATTGGAGTTCCCCCCCACCTTGGTCTCAGCTCCATACCCAGGAGGCCCGGTGGACGCAGTAGCCGTGGTCACAGGTGTGGCACTTCCAGGTGGTACTGAACTGGGACATGGTGTGCAGGTGGCCTGGTGTGGGATACTCTACGCCACCCTGATCTGGGCCAAGCCTGAGTTCAGGGCCAGGCTCCAGGGTAGGAGCCGGGCAGGTCTATGCTGGCTGGAACCCGCTTGGCAGGTGTGCCTTGGGGGAGGGCATCAGAGACACGTTCCAGAGAAGTCCAGATGAGGATGTGTGGCCGGCCTGGGACCCTGGGATGTGAAGGTGTCTGAGAGACACCCTTGTGCCCCTGGCTCTGCCCAAGAGCTGTACGCCAGGGGGCCAAGCCTAGCCCAGAGCCTCAGGCCCCAGAAGAACCAGGCTAGGCGGCAGAGTCTCCTGCTCCCAGCCCCACCCCTGCCCACTTGCCTGCTGGGGTCCATGCCATGAGCAGGAGCAAGACAGGACAGGAGGGGAGGCTGAGTGATGGGGACCCCAGAGTCAAGGATTGGGGCTATGCCATCTACCAGGATGCAGGTGAGGTTCCCACACCTGCCTGCCACCCCACTAGCCATTACTTCAGTCTGTCTGATTTGGGCTTGGGGGAGATCTGGTGGGGACCCCAGCCTCACAGGTAGCTGCTCCAAGACAAAAAGCTGGGGACCCTCGAACTTTTGAGCCTATGAACCTCTGAGGTAGTGTCTCCAGAGGCTCTGCCCCCACCAGCAAGCGGCACTGAGGACTGGCACTTGGGCCCTGAAGGAATGCGGTGTCAGGGCCTAGAGGGGCTAGTGAGGGCAGAGCAGGTCCCTGGGAAGCCGAGGGCCCATGGTGGCCCCACTGCTGAGTGCACACACAGAGGCTGCTCACTACAACCCTGGACAGCTGCCCTTCCCCTCTGAGGCGGCCTGCGGGTCACTTGCTGGGCTCCGGGCCCAGGCTTTGTCTGCCCACGTCACTGAGCATGGCAGCAACTGGAGGTCCCTGCTGAATGCCACGCTGGTCAGTTACACTGCTGACCATGCACTCGGACAGATGGTAGCCAGAGGGGACAAAGCAGGAGATTTCAGCTGGGCGGGGGTGACAGCAGGACCTGAGCTGCTCTCCCCAGAAGTTCCCTTGAGGACTCACAGTGGGTCCCAAAGTTTAATCCAAGCTGCAGCTCTGCATGGCCGGCAGGGGCCAGCGGAGGCCTGTAGTGGCCCTGGTGCTTCAGAGAAGCTGTCTTTTTAAGAATTTGGGGTACACGGGTCCCTTCCACAGGATCCTGGGGATCCGAGGCTATGGCAGGCATGGACCCAGGACGGTGGGGCTGGCAGTGCACAAGGCGCAGATGCGTGGCTGGGTGGGGTGCTGCCCCTCTCCAGGCCCCTCAGCCCCCTGCAGCCATTCCATCTCCCGACAGCCCTGCAGCAGCTGCCAGGAGCCTCCTCTTCCTCCTCTCCTCCTGCCGTCTCCTTCTCCTCCCCTCCTGCTTTTCCTGCCTTTCCTCTTGGTTTCGAAACTTCTTCACAGACAGGCAGAACTGCGTTTCCCAACTGGGTGCACCTCCCTCCCTCTGGCACGTTTCCTGGCATCAGGTGCCCGCCTGCCCCCTCTGCCTGTGCATCCCTGCTCGCCCCTAGTCTGTGTGAAGAGCCGATACCTGTGGCTCCAGGCAACGCAGGTGGCCCAGCTCAGGGACCTTTGCCCACCCAGGCCCCACCCAGCCCCTCCTTCGGCTCCTGTTCCCACCCCTTTTCCCTGGAAAGCACCCCACTGCCCCTGGCCTTGCTCATCACGGTGCTCCTGAGATTCTTGGGTCCTAGTGGATGGGGGCCCTGGATGGAGCCAGGGGACCAGGGAAGCAGAGGCTCAGGTTGCAGGCCCCCCTCCCCAGGCATCTGGAGGCCTCAGCCCCAGGCTCTGCCCTGATAGAGCTCTGTGACCCTTGGTCCGTCTGGATGCGGGATCACTAACACCCATTGCCCTGAATGCCCAAGACATTTCTCTCATGTCCTCGCATCTCAAGGTCTTTCCCCAACATTCCAACATTCCAACATTCCAGCACGATCCCCACCACAAGGCAGTGTTCCTAGAAGGCAGCATGACGGTGGCTGGGGCCGCAGGGGAGATGCCCCGCCCCCCGCCCCCCCAGTCTGTAGGCCCTTGCCTCTTCTGTGCAAGCCTGGGATGGCTCCAGGGAATCAGCACTTGTCCCAGTCGCCAGCTCAGCCGGCAGAGCACAGCCTCCTCTGGCTCACCCAGAATGCCCTGCAGGAGGCTTCTCTTCCTTCCTGGCCAAGCGACAACCGTGGTGCCAAGGGGCAGCCTGTCCCATCACCCACAGGTGCCCATGTGGAGTCTTCCGCCTCCTGGGTCCTGCAAAAGTGCTGCGATGCACGGGGTGCATGCAGGTCTCTGTGATTCCGAGTCCCAGAAGTGAAGGTGTTGGGTCCCACAGTAACACTCATGTTTGGGTTTCTTGCGAAGATCGCTGTTTTTGACAGCAGCCAGCTTTGCTCAGGTTCCCGCTGACCGCGCAGTGTTCCAGCCTCCTCTCCATGTTCTGATTCTGCTTATTTTCTTTCTCTTTCCCTTTTCTTTTTTTAGCACTGGAGATGGAACCCACGAGTTGCATGCTGAGCTACACCCCAGCTCTTTCTATTTTTGAGATAGGGTCTTGCTATGTTGCCCACACTGCCCCTGGACTTGCAGTCCTCCGCCTCAGTCTCCAGAGCAGCTGGGGTAACAGCTATGCACCACACTGCTCCCCTTTGTGACAGGAGATGATGTCCTATGGCAGTTCTGGCCTGTGTTTTCCTCCTGGTGAGGAAGGCTGATCATGTCTTCCCTGGAGAAACGGCTGTGGAGTCCTGTGCGGTGCCTAATTGTGCGTCTGTTCCTGCTGGGCTTCAGGCACGATCTGGACACAAATCTCTTGCCAGAGACGTAACTAGCAAGCATCCTACCTCCCCAGGGTGTCTTTGTACCCTGTCCCTGCTATTCTGGATGCATTTTTTTTTTTGTCTTTTTTCTTTTCTTTTTTATCGGTACCGGGGATCCAACTCACAACTGCCTGCTTACAAGGAGGCGCTTATGCCACTGAGCTAAATCTCCAGCCCCTGGATTCATGGTTTTTTGAGGCAGGGTCTCACTATGCAGCTCAGGCTGCCTTTAGCTCAATGGGGCTCCTTCCTCGGCCTCCTGAGTGCCAGGATTACAGGCACGTGCCACCACACAGGGTTTTGCACAGGTGACAGGATGCCAGAAGTCCGGCTCCCAGCAGTCATTCTCATGCTTATTACCGGTGAGAGGATGCAGGTGATGTTACAAACGTAGCTTCCACCTGAGACCACTTCAGCAGTCCAGCATCACCAGTGAGCAACCCTGTCTCTGGTGACCCCAATGTCCAGGACATCAGTGATTCAGACCATGAGAGTCACAGGCAGGGTGGAAGCCAGCACCCCTCAGCCTTTGAGGCTCCCATTTGGTCCTGTGCTGCCCCCCCCCCCACAGCCCTGTGCTGGTTCAGTGGTGATGCTGTCTGTGTCCACAGGCACCGTCCCCTGTGACCCAGCAGCACAGGTCCTCATGGCCACCTGGGTGACATGCCACTCTCAGGCCACATGGACCAAAGCACTGTTTGCTGGGGGTCCCAGGCCACAGTTGGTCTCGAGCGGGGCTCTTCAGCAGGGCCTGCCCCCAGGTGGCCTCCAGTTCTGCTTCTCCCCACAGGGGCCTTCATGATCCCCTTCCTCATCCTGCTGGTCCTGGAGGGTGTCCCCCTGCTGCACCTAGAGTTCGCCATTGGCCAGCGGCTGCGCAAGGGCAGCGTGGGTGTGTGGAGCACCATCCACCCAGCTCTGAAGGGCGTAGGTATGTGCCTGGCCATGGCCCCAGCTCCGGGTGCTCCTAGGCAGGAGGACCCAGGCTGGTCCTCCAGAGGTTTCAGTGCCTTTTGAGCCCATGTCTGGGCTGCACTGTCCTGGTCACCAGGCCCTGATTCCCCACAGCCTGGCAGGGTGGGAGGGTGGCCTAGGGGAGAGGAGCAGAGAGGGTTGCATCTGCAGCTCACAGCAGGCTCCACCAGGCTCCGGGGCCAGAAGGGGGCGCTTGTCCCCCACCTGCCCTCAGCCACCTGTCTGTGTCAATCCAACTTCCAATCCAGCCATACCTGTGCCCAGCCCTAGGGCTGGTCACTCATTCACTGGCTCTGGCCTGGGCAGTGCCCTGCAGCCTCACCAAGGGACATCATGGCTCAATGGGCCCCCCAAATATGGGCAGGCAGAGAAGACCAAGAACTGGGGCAAAGAGCAGGGTCCAGGGCCAGGGTCCAGGGCAGGGCAGGGCCCATCCCATCCACATCCACACCCAGCAGGCCCAAGGCACACAGCCTCGGCTCCTGGCCCTCGCTGCCCCTCTCTGCCCTTTCCTGCACCTCCCTTCCTGTCCACCCTGGCGCTCCTTTCCTTCCCTCCTTCCCTCTCTCCTCCTGCTGCTCTCTCCCTCTCTCCACTCTCACCTCCCACAATCACACACACAGGCATCTGGCTTTGAGTTTCACATCTCTGAAGACCAGGTGCCTGGACCACCACAGTCCTGCCTAGCAGCCCCAATGTGCAGAACACCCCCTGCCCACTGTGCTCTCTGCTGCCACTCTCCAGTCCCCAGAGGAGGACAAGGCTTTCTCCACCTGGTCTGGAGCTGGCCACTGGCCTCTGTAAGGGCCTACGGCTACCACCTGCAGGCTGCAGGCAATGGAGGAGGGAAATGGGACGCTGACCCCCAGCCACAGCTCACACAAGTGACATCAGACAGACCCTGGCAGCCAGCAGCCCAGCACTCAGCCGCCCACAGTGTCCCCCTGTGCCCCGCAGGCATTGCGTCCATGATGGTGTCCTTCATGGTTGGCCTGTACTACAACACCATCATCGCCTGGGTCATGTGGTATTTCTTCAACTCCTTCCAGGAGCCCCTGCCGTGGAGTGAGTGCCCACTGAACGAGAACCAGACAGGTGAGCCCTTAGCCTCTGCGCTGTCCCCATCCCTATCCACACAGTGGCTTTGTTAGCAGTCAGTTGCATCTGGTGAACGGTCACCAGCACTCTCCTGAGACTGGCTGCTCACAGACAGGGCTGACAAAATCCAGAGCACCTTCCAGGACACAGGGCAATGGCAGGTTTCACCATGAGTATGGCAGCTTCCTGAACCCTGTGCCTGGATCCAGATGAGAGGCTAAAAGACACTACAGGGGAAGCAGAGGCTGCGACAGAGTGACCCACTCACAAGAGCCGCTGCTGCCTATACCCATGTCCCCCACCCTGGGCAAGCTCAGCTCACACTGACCTACGCAGCCACCGATGGGCCTATGTGGCCAGCTTGGTGACCTCAAGTCCAACAGGTGCAGAGGGGCCGTGGCATGTGCTATGCAAACCCTTGCCGTGCAACAGGCAGTGGAGACAAGGCCAGGAAAGGGCAAACAGCTCCAGGCGCCCTTCTCTGTCTATCAGGCTGACTCTTCATCTCAGGGAGCTCAGAGTAGTTCCTGTGACCCCAAGAAGCCCATGGTGCAACAGGGTGTGCAACTGGGCACAGAGGCCCAGGCCCGGCCAGGAAGCCCCAATGACCCACAGTCCTTGCACTGCCAAACTACCTGCCTGGGGTAATGCCCCTCACAGGAGCCAGGCAACAGCAGCATGGGCCGTCAAGGTACCATGCACAGCACAGTGAGGGCGATGTCTCAGAACCTATAGTATGCGTGAACATGTGTGCACACTGAACAAGTGCATGTATGTGTGAGCATATTTCCCTCCTCCATTTCTGGCCTGCTCCTGGGGCTGCCTGGTGTCTCTGGAGTTCAAGCCCCCGAGCTGCCTGTCCACGCAGACCTGTCCTCTCCAAGCCTTGCCCTGAGGCGTGCGCTCGGTCACCTCCACAGGTTATGTGGACGAGTGTGCCAGAAGCTCCCCCGTGGACTACTTCTGGTACCGCAAGACCCTCAACACCTCCACCTCCATCGACGAATGGGGCTCCATCCAGTGGTGGATCCTGCTCTGTCTCACCTGCGCCTGGAGCGTCCTGTACGTGTGCACCATCCGCGGCATTGAGACCACCGGGAAGGTATGGGGTGGGCTGCCCACTGCACCCTTGGGGCCTTGGTCCTGGGGCTCCCACACCCTCTGTCAGGGCCACGATGGCCCCAGGTCTGCCGAATGGCTCAGCTGGTGGCCCCAGGATTTTGTGCAGCTGAGACAGCTCTCAAGCACACTCCAAAGCTCCTGCAGCCCTAAGCACCTGCCTAGTTGGGGTGGCCGAACTGTGACACAGGACACAGGAGACTGGGATGTCCTTGTGCTGGAGCCCAGGCACTGTCCCGAGGTCCAGCCTCTGCCCCTTCCAAACCAGGTCATGCCCATACCCTGACCCCGCTGCCCCACAGGCTGTGTATATCACCTCCACGCTGCCCTACGTCGTGCTGACCATCTTCCTCATCCGCGGCTTGACCCTGAAGGGCTCCACCAATGGCATTGTCTTCCTGTTCACTCCCAATGTGAGTCCCTGTGTCCAGCCTGGGCTTGACCTGCAGGAGAGGCCTCAGAGGAGCAGAACCTCTCTTTCTCTGTGCCACAACCTCTGTTCCAGCTCCCAGGGACAGGTCGAGCCAGTCTGCTGCCACTAGGCCAGTCCTGCCTGGCTGGGCCCCGAGGGACGGTTGTCTGTGGTCCTTGTGCTGCATGCCGGGTGGGGGTTAGTCAGCCTGACTTCGCTCTTCATGTGTAAGGGCAGCCACCAGCAGGGAGGAACCTGTCCTCCCCAACCAACTGGAGGCTCAGGGTTCTCCCTGGCCGCCTCGCCTTGGCCTTGGTGGTTCTGGCCCACACAGTGTGCAGCTGAGGTCTCTGTTGATGCAGATCACGGAGTTGGCCAACCCAGTGACCTGGCTGGACGCAGGCACCCAGGTCTTCTACTCCTTCTCACTGGCCTTTGGGGGCCTCATCTCCTTCTCCAGCTACAACTCTGTGCAGTGAGTTCCTGGGGTGGGAGGGTCCTCAAGTGCAGGGAGCTGTTTCAGTTTCCCTGGGTGTGAGGATGGGTAGGAAAGGACGCAAACCCCAGCCTGCCCGGTCCCTGCCTGTATGGGTGCAGCAACTCTGCTGGGCGGCTGTGGGCACACACAGCCCAGCAGGGCAGGTTTTATCTGCCTGGCTCCGTCTCCATGCCTCATCATCCCCGGCTCTCCCCCGGCACCCCAGTACTGGGTAGGCGGTTCTTCCAAAGCCCCATGCCCACCCTGCAGACCCAGGTGGGCTCCTGTAGGCGGTGCCTTCAACAGACCCTGCCTGGATAGGACACCGGGTGATGAGTCCAGGGGATTTTGGGAAGCACTCAAGCAGTGCTCCCCATCTTGCACAAATGTTTCTGCAGCACCTAGTGTGTATCAGGTGTTCTCACAGGGGTGAGGGTGTGCAGAGGCCCAGGGAGGAGAGGGACTGGGCTGGTGTAAGGGGTGCAGCCTGGACTGCAGAAGGGGCAGAGTGGGGCAGGGTCTGTGAGTGCCCAAGGGGAAGGGAGCAGAAGATGTGTTCAACAGACCTCAAGTCTGTTAGGCTGCCAGCTCCACTGGTGGGTTGAGCCAGGGACAGGTGTGGGGCATGGCCTGGTGGGCGGGCCCGTAATGAGGGCAGGGAGAAGGCCAGAAGTGCCCTGAGACACCGGGATGGGCATGTCTGGGCATGGCTATAGGTGTGACTGGAGGGTCAGGCAGGAGTGCTGCTTCGGACGTTGCCAGAGATGCTGAAAGTGGGAGTGGCTGGCTTCAGAGCACGGAGGCCCTGTTGTCACTGGCATCTAGCTCCCCATCCAGAGAAGGCACTGAAAGGGCACCCACGAGGTGTCACTGCCAGTGAGGCCCAGGCATGTCTGCCATGCACGACAGAGATTTCTTCTGCAGCAGCTTCCTCTCCCTGGGCCCTGACCCTGCCCCCTCTGCCTTCTGCCTGTGGACAGTGGGTCCTGGACGCTGCGATGAGCACACGTCCCGCTTCTTGCGAGGCCAGGGTGTCCTGTGCACTGTGTCACTGCCTTCCTCCTCTCTGCCGATGGTGTCTCTGTGTGGACACAGGCATGGGCTGCTGCCTGGTCACCAGCCTGGCAGTGTGTGGTGGCATGTCGTTGCCCTGTGACATGATCTTCCCAGTGGCTCTCAGCTCTGCTCCTCGTGGCCTGGTCGTCGAGTGCCGAGGCTATGGATGGAACAGCTCTCCGAGCTTCCCTTGGTGGACACCTGTGGCAGGAACACAGCCAGCCAGGGCCCTGGAGACCTGGGGTGTGCCAGTTGGGGCAGGCCGAGCCCAGCCTCCTCACACCCTGGAGTCTTCTTGGCTTGCTGCCTACCTGCCCTGGGCTAGGGCTGGGACCTGGACAGCCCCAGATGACAGCTGTAGTCTGTGTCCTGGGCTTTCTGAGTGTCTCCAGAGCCACCATGTACTGAAATGTGCAGAGGGGCAGGAGCAAGGGCCTCTGCTGAGGGTCTAGGTGAGGGCCAGCACCCTGCATCCTCAGTGCCACTTGGGTAGGGCTCCACCCCTTCCCATGTCACCAAAGGTGCCATCCCTAGCTTGCTTTTGGGCTGGGCTCAGACCCTGTGCTGGGCCTGGACCTGGTGGAGGTGCTGCCCATGCCCTGACTCTGCGTTGGGGACACAGCATGGTCCCTAGGACATCAGGGTGGGCCACGATGATGACATTGCTCTCACCCACAGCAACAACTGCGAGATGGACTCGGTGATCGTGTCCATCATCAACGGCTTCACTTCTGTGTTGGCGGCCACGGTAGTTTACTCCATCATCGGCTTCCGTGCTACCCAGCGCTATGATGACTGCTTCAGCCAGTGAGCTGCGTCCCGCACCAAGCCCCACCCACCCAGGCCGGCCCCCACCCAGGCGGGCATCAACCTTTCCTCTCCCTAGGAACATCCTGACGCTTATCAATGCCTTCGACCTGCCAGAGGGAAACGTGACGCAGGAGAACTTTGCCGCCATGCAGCAGTGGTTCAATGCTACCAATCCCAACATCTATGCGGGACTCAAATTCCAGACCTGCGACATGAACTCCTTCTTGTCTGAGGTGGGTCCCACGGGTACAGCCCACAGAAGTGAAGGGGCTTTGAACTGTGCAGACAGGCAGGTCCAGCCTTTCCCCCAGGCTGATTCCCCCCAACCACCAGTTCACTGCCACACACTGCAGGTGCCCGAGGGTTATGACGCTTCTTCCGTTAAAGTGGAAAGCATTGTTCCCCCTGGTTCTGAATGTGTCACACAACCAGGCCAGCAGCACAGTTCTTGGATCTGAGACTCAGTCCTTGGGAAGCTGCCACTGTAGTAGCTGGAGTTTCTGAGCACCATGTTAATGGTCAATGAAGTTTGTGCTTTTTTTTTTCTGTTCTGGGGATTGAACCTAGGACCTTGGCACTGAGCTGCATTTCCAGCACTTTTTAAAACTTTGAGACAGGATCTTGCTAAGTCATTATGTTGCCCAGGCTGGGCTCAAACTAATGATCCTCATTCTACAGCCTCCTGGAGTGCTGGGTGACAAGTGTGTACCACCATGCCCAGCTACCAGTACATTTATAGGCCAACCTTTACTAAGTGAATCTGGCAGCTGGTTGGTCAGGAGCCTCCAGTGTTTTAGAGGGTGGTGGCCCTCTGTAGGGCTTGGCACTGTGTCTGTCTCTGGTGGCCCTGGTGAAATAGCTGTGGCAGGAATGAAATGTTGGTAGGGTACCTGGCATGGCAGAGCAGAGGATGCTGAGGTTCTCAGCCACAGGGTGCCTAGTGATCCCAAAGGATAGGTGGTCCCTGGGACAGGGTGATGCTGGCTTGATGAACACCCACCTACCCCGGGGCCTCCTGGATCTGGGTTCCCTCAGGACCTGTGTTTTGGTGACGCAATCAGGCTTTCTCTGCGTCCTGGAGCTGGGCCATGTGGGGACAGCTGAATGCCCACAGTGGCTGACTGGTCTTAGCAGCCTGGGGCTCTGACTGCAGCAAGGCCACAGAACCTACTTACTGTTCAGCTTTTGAAAATGTGCTTTGGAACCAAAATCAAAACCCAGTTAGGCTGGGCATTGTGGCACATGCCTGTAATCCTAGCACGCATGAGGCTGAGGCAGGAGAACTGCTACAGGTTCAAGGCCAGTCTGGGCTACAAAGTTCAAGGCCAGTCTGAACTGCCCAGTAAAACCCAGTCTCAAAAAGATGCCCCCCCAAAAAAGATCCAGTTATTTCATGACATGACCCAGACCCATCCCGCCCTATCCTTGCTGGGATAGGCACGGCAGGTGGGCTACTGGGGTGGCTGCAGAGAAGGGGCCTGGGTGACCCAGTGTGTGTTGCCATGCAGAGCGTGGAGGGCACCGGCCTGGCCTTCATCACCTTCACCGAGGCCATCACCAAGATGCCGGTGTCTCCGCTGTGGTCAGTGCTCTTCTTCATCATGCTCTTCTGCCTGGGCCTCTCGTCCATGTTTGGGAACATGGAGGGCGTGGTTGTGCCCCTGCAGGACCTCAAGGTCGTCCCCAAAAAGTGGCCCAAGGAACTTCTGACAGGTGTGTGTGTGGATGGGTGTGGATGGGCACCCAGAACAGGGATACCTTGAGGGCTGCCCTGAGTTGGGCTCCGCTCTCTGTCGGCCTGCAGGTCTCATCTGCTTGGGCACCTACCTCATCGCCTTCATCTTCACACTGAACTCGGGCCAGTACTGGCTGTCCCTGCTGGACAGTTATGCGGGCTCCATCCCCCTGCTCATCGTGGCCTTCTGCGAGATGTTTGCCGTGGTATATGTATACGGCGTGGACAGGTAGGAGGGCGGTGACTGTCCTGCCCGGGAAGAGCCAGGGTGTGGGTTCCTGCAGCGATGGTTTGTAGTTTCCCTCCTTGTGGGCACACTGGCATCATGCAGCCGGTGCCATTGTCTGGCGCGGAGAGCCTCGGTGGGCTGAGGTGCAGTGGGTAACAGTGCCCTCCTGGCTCGTGCAGGTTCAATAAGGACATCAAGTTCATGATCGGGCACAAGCCCAACATCTTCTGGCAGGTCATGTGGAGAGTGGTCAGCCCAGTCATCATGCTGGTCATCTTCTTTGCCTTCTTGGTGATCCAGGTCAACAAGGACCTCACATACAACGTGTGGGATCCCAGCTACGTGAGTGCCCAGACGGTAGTACACGGCCCAAGAGGGCGGGAAGGCGGGACCCAGGCACCCGAAGCCTGGTTCTCCTCCACCCAAGAGGACTGGGAAGTGGGCATCCTGGGGGCCCTGCTGGCTGCTTACCGCACCTCTCCCACAGGAGGAGTTCCCAAAGTCCCTGGAGGTCTCATACCCGAGCTGGGTGACCGCAGTGGTGGTGGTCGTGGCCGGGGTGCCTTGCCTCACTATCCCCTGCTACGCTGTCTACAAGCTCCTCTGTGGCTGCTTCCGGAGCTCAGGAGACCGCCAGGGGCTGGTCAGCACGATGTCCACTGTCTCTGTGAATGGGGACCTGAAGAGCTGAGTGGGCCCAGTCTGCGGAGCATGTGTGCGAGTGTGCGGGTGGCTATGCACGTGTGTGGATGTGGATGTGTGCTCAGGTATGTTTGTGCAGGAAATCATGTGTGTGTGTTGTGTGTACATGCATATGTATGTGTACATGTGCACACATGAATGAGTGTGTATACAGGTGTGTGTATGTGTCCATATGCACACGTGTGTTATGTGTGTGAGGGTATCTGTGAGAATGTATTACTCATCTGTGGAAGTGCACTGTGCAGTACACACATATGTACTGCACATGTGTGCATACCCCCGCATATTTATGTGTATTCATACGTGTGCGGGAGGCATGTGTCGTGCATGTAAATGCATGAGCACCACATTTTTGTTTTCATGTCACATGCGGACATGTGGCTGTGTGTGCCCACTGTACACGTGTGGGGCATGTGTTTTGACAGGCTTGTGGCACACATTCCCACACCTGGCCCGCACTGCCCCCGCCCCTGCTCTTGCTTCTGTGGCAAGGCATGGACTGTGCCCGGCCATCCTGGTGTGGGCTGACCCAAACCTGCACACACCATGGGCCACACCGAGGCCTGCAGGCCACACTGCTGCTCCTTGGCGTAGTCCCTGATGCCTGTTCACTCACACTGCCCCTTGCCATTGGACCTGGACCTGGCAGCCCTGAGTAGAAAAGTTGGGGGCCCTTTGCTGCCTGAGGAGGAGCCAGAGGAGGGCAAGAGACTCCAGGCAGGGAAGACTGGGCCCGAGCTGGATTCACAGAGGTCCAGCCTGGCAGAGTCCACCGGTGAATTCCGAGCTGTTTAATCATTACTGGAGCTGGATGAGCAACTCAGTGGGGCTCAGCAGCTTCCCAAGAGGACGCTTCAGCTGGAGGCTGGGAATGCTCCAGGGCCGACATGGTGACTGTGACACCCACCCCCGGGTTGCCTGGGAGCCACACTAGGCACTTGCCCTCCCTGTCACAGAAGAGCCTCTCTGATTAGATGCCCAGCTCAGCCACTGCCAATAGTCATCCCGCTTCCCAAGGAAAGTCTAAGCTTAAATTGAGCTGGCCTCTGGGAATTCACAGGAGGGTGGCAGCGGTGGGTCCGGTTGCCACGTCCCTTCCCCTGGAGACACTAGCCACTTCCTCCACTAGAGGTCAGGGTCAGCCCTTTAACTGGAGTCCTCACACCAGGCCCCTCTGCCTTCCGCTGGATACCTGGGCACCGTGATCTGAGTCCTGCAGATGGAGGAGGGTGGCCCAAGAACATAGCCAGGAAGAGCTCGTGTGAGCTGGCCTGGGGATGTGCAACTGAGCGCCTGCAGTGCCCGTCTGGGCCTGGGTGGGGATGGCTCAGCCTGCTGTCTCCAGCCCGGTATTCCCACGGGTGTGCCCATCCGTGGGACCGGAATGTGGTCTGGGCAGGAAGCGTCTGTCTGAATAAACCACACTTGTCTCACACTCCTGGCTTGTGATTGTGTGGCAGGCGACACCCACTGCCCTTGGGCAGGCGACAGGGGCCGTGGGCTAGGGGCTGTGAGGGTGGCAGTAAAGGGAGGTGGGAAGAGTGACAGTGCCTGCCATGCAGGTGGCCCTAGGGGACGTTTCCTTGCCAGGCCCAGCTGCCCACAACCTCCATCCACCTCCCCACACATCTGAACACTTTTGTCACTTGCCTGTCACTCACAGGCTGTGCTCCAGGACGTACGCATTCAGACTCCAGCCACACAAGAGGCTGGCATCCTGGAGCTTGAAAATCTCAGGTTGGAGCCCTGGGCCTGGCCCTGGACAAGGCGCTGTGGGAGGACTCAGAGCTCAGGAGCACCACAGGGCCTCCGGGATAGACCCCAGGCAGGAGACCCAAACACAGGGAGCACAGGGCTCCGGGCCTGTGGTGCTGCATGCAGGGTGCAGGCATGCGGGGAACCAGGCCACAACAGGGAAGGTACCTACAGTGCATACGGGCTCAGTACTGTGGCCTTTGCAATAAGCCACGTAAGGATGTGGGCACAGGCATGGGATACCAATGGCCTCCGTGGTATAGGCCACTGGAGTCTCAAAGCTATGAGCTTAGTTACTGATGTGGGAGTAGGGTTTTGGTTTGTGTTGGGTGTGTGTGTGTCCATGTCCATGCACACGCGCATATAGGTGCGTGGCACTGTAGCGGAGACTGAACCCAGGCTCTTTGCACTGAACTACAACCTCAGGCCTTATAATTTAATTTTTTTTTTTTTTAGACGGGGTCCTTGAGTTATCCAGGTTGGGCTCCACCTTTTGGTCCTCCTTAATCAGCCTCCCAGGACAAACCAGCTTTCAGACACCACCTCTGCGTGCCCATTTCCAGAGAGGCCACTGGGGCGAGAGGTTGCTGTTGACCAGCACTGGGTTGGGCTGCTGGCTGTCAGCTCTGCTGAGTGCTCAGATGGAATGTGGGACAGGCCTGGGGACACAGGCACCAGGGACAGGAACTGGGCCCAGTTACCAATTAACTAGGCTCTCTTAAATAAGTGAGAAAACGCACCCAGAGGACAGTAGGCACTGCCCAGTCCAGAGCGGACAGGCTCGAGTCCAGCAAGGCACCCACCCACCTGCACCGGTACTCACACACCACACCCGGGTGCCCGGCAGCATGGCCCAGGCCCTGGGACTGGGCCTGCTTGTGGACGAGGGCGAGGACAAGAGGCCCCACTGGGACAACAGGCTCCAGTACCTGCTGAGCTGCGTAGGCTTTGCTGTGGGGCTGGGAAACATCTGGAGGTTCCCATACCTGTGCCAGACCTACGGAGGAGGTGAGCTGCCAGGGCCTCCTCTAGTATCCCCCCCACCCCGCCCCGGGTGGGAGCAGCTGTCCTTATCCGACAGAGGAGGCCTACACCCCTGTATCTGGGACTCAGGGCAGGTGTTCAAACCTGGCATTGTCCCCAAGCCTGTCTGCTCGCGGCCTTGAGAGCCCTTAGCCCTGGGAAGAATCCCCGGCCACTAGTCTTTCTGTCTTGGCGAGTGTGGGGGGCCAGGAGTTGATGTCTCCCCAGGGCCTCATCGTAGAATCCAGGGAGCACACTCCCTAGATGGTCTCCACACAGCCCAGGCAACACAAGCCCACGGGGCTGCTGGCCATGCTTCATTGGCATTAAACTTGCAGCCCCCGAGAGCCCATTCACCAAGGAGCAGCGCCCAAGGTACCACTACTGCGTGTAGGGCTGTGGTAGGGAACAGGCGGGCACTGCTGCCTCAGGAGCAGATGTGAATGGGCTCCATGTCCCCAGCCTGACGGCGCCGGGCTGGGACAGCCAGTCTACGGCCTCCCCTGCCCTATCACTTTGGTCACAGTAATGCTCTCCCCTTGCCAGCTGGAGACAAGGATGCAGCACCTTCAGGGTCAGAGTGCTGACCGGGCCTAGAAAACACGGGTGGGCCAGCTCCAGCATGGGCAGCAAGCCAGGCCTCCCCAGAGTGACCCCCTGGACTCAGGCTTCGGGTGGATGGAGACCAGCCAGGGCTGGGGACAAACCTGGGTGACCAGGAGCCGCCTCTGTGACTCCGTTTCTGACTTGGCAAAGCTGTGTGTGGAAGCCTTGGGAAGCACGGTGGCACAAACAGGAACCACAACCCAGGGCAGGGCCCAGCACCTGTGCGCCCGCCTGGAGCTGCTCCCTCATTGCCCCTGCCCTGCTGCAGGGGCCCTGTGGGCGCTGTGTTCTGCCTGGGATCTCGCGCTTGAGCTGTTTCCCAGGCATTAGTTTCCGGGTGTGAAATCGCTTGTTTGAATGCTGTGAAACTGTCCATCCTCCGACAGCGGGTGGCATCCCTGTGGGGCCGAGGGTGTCCTCTGAGGTCCTGTTCTGTCCACAGATTGTTTAGAAAAGAAGACATAGTTGGTGACGTTCATATTTTGTTTGCACAAACCCATCACCACCAAGGGTGGACATTTCTTCTCCCACTCGTAATTACTCAACTCCATGCATCTTCTATTCAAAGACGAGACTGTGAAGGTAACACTGCACAAAGGTGCCAGGCATTTATAGAAGATCTCCGGCAGCCAGATGTAGTGGTGTGTGCCGGTAATCCCAGCACCTCCAGAAGCAGAGGCAGGATGAACTCCAAGTTCTAACCCAGCCTGGGCAACTGATCAAGACCCCATTCCAAAGCAGAAACCTTTAAAGGCCTGAGGATGTAGCTTGGTGGTAGAGTGCCCCGGGTTCTATCCCCAAACCACACCCAGACTAGGTTTACAGCAATGTTGTGCCAGGGTCCCTCAGCAGGAGGTGTTTATTTACTCTTAGCACTCTGAACCAAAGCAGCCTGCATGGTGAGTGGGCATGGACTTCTCTGTAGCAGACGCCCGTGGGCGGCTGGAGTGGCGCAGTCACTCACACAGAAGCCCTGTGCTCCATTCAGTCTCCCTGGGGCCAGCGGGCTCCGCAACTGCTTGCCGTATATAGCGAGTCCTCCTGCTCTCCTGTGAGGATGGCGGACCCCTGTGTGTGCACATGTGTGAAGCCAGTGTGGCTGAGTGCAGACGACACCCCTCCCTGCACCCACTGTCTTCTCACAGAGCTCCTGGTCCCCCTGTAGCCCTGTCGTGTCTCCCCTGGCTTTAGCTGCCACAGAAATTCCTTTCCTCCATGGTGGTCTCAGGGTCTCAGTATGGGATGCAAGGGTGTTGCCAGGGCTGCCAGGAGTTTGCTCGGGGATGGTGGTCAGAAGTTATCAGCCAGATGCCATGTCCTCCCGGCCACTCAGCGTGGACCTCCTACTTTGCAGGCTCTGCCTCCTCCTACCTGCCAGTCTGTTCCATTCTCCTGAATGTTCCTCCCTGGGCAGTTGGGTTGGGCCATGCTGTGCCAAGCCCAGGGCAGCTGGCCCTGCAGGCCGACTCACAGGGAACGGGTGTGGGCTGCTAGTTAGCAATGACAAGATGCTGGCTGGGGCCCATGTGGGTCAGTGTCCAGGTCAAGGCTGCCTGAGACTGTCCCCAGGTCTGCTTGCAGGCGGGGAGGGGGAAAGGCAGAGTCATGATGTCAGTTCCCTGGAGAGGACGCAGCAGTTAGAGCTGCTGGCTCAGGGCACAGGCTCCTTCCTAGGGATCAGGGTGCCTGTCCAGCCGACTCTGTGGTGGCTTCTCCCACACCTGGCTGGCAGCAGAAACACTCTCAGCCCTTCCAGTTTCCCAAGCATGCGGATTCTGCCCTGGGACTGGGGCAGCTCGGGAAGGAAGGCAGCTGGTGGTGTAACTTAGGCAAGCCCAGCCCTGCGCCCTGCCCCAGGGAGGATGAAAAGCCAGAGGGAACCCTGCATACTGGGGTCCTGGCCTTGCCTGGTGACCCTGGTTTCTGTAAACCCCTGGCTTAGGAACCTGCATTCCTGGCAGAAGCCACTTCTCCCTGGGAGGCACTTGCCCCTCTGATGTCCTCAGATCCTGGACTCTAACCCCGGACTTTTACAGCCACAGAGGATGTCACTGGGGCCTGGGGAGGGTGCAGTGACATGTGGCCAGGGGCTCCTGTCACCCTCTGTGCTTGGTCCTCTGGTTGGTATTGACACACTGAACCCAAACCAGCATCCAGACTGGCATTTGGGCACCAGGTGCCCCAACTCTCGCTGGGACCCTACTCAAGGCTGCCAGTGACTGTGGGTACCCCGTGCCTGGCAGGTGCCTTCCTCATCCCCTACCTCATCGCGCTGGTCTTCGAGGGGATCCCCCTCTTCCACATCGAGCTTGCCATTGGCCAGCGCCTGCGGAGGGGAAGCATCGGGGTGTGGACGGCTATCTCCCCATACCTGGGCGGAGTAGGTGTGTGACACAGATGAGGTACCCACCACAGGGAGTTGTGGAGGGGGGCCCTGGGGCCTGAGCTGCAGAGCGAGGCTTTCATTTTCATGTGGGTGCAGGCCTGGGCTGCTTCACCGTGTCCTTCCTGGTCAGCCTGTACTACAACACGGTGCTCGTGTGGGTGCTGTGGTACTTCCTCAACTCCTTCCAGCAGCCACTGCCCTGGGGCACCTGCCCACCCAACCTCAACAGGACCGGTGAGGCGCACGGGGGGTGGGGGCAGGAGGAGAGCCTCAGGCCCCTGTGGCCCGGCTCCTCGAAGTCAGAAGGGGCTGGGGGGGGGCAGGGATATGCAGACAGCCAGCCCACAGCCACCGGGGCGGCTCCGTGGCAGGGCTGGTGGAGGAGTGCCAGGGCAGTGGCACGGTGAGCTACTTCTGGTACCGGCGGACGCTGAACATCACTGCTGACATTGGCGACAGTGGCGCTGTGCAGTGGCGGCTGCTCCTGTGCCAGGCGGCCAGCTGGGCGCTCGTGTACCTGTGTGTGAGCAGAGGCATTGAGACCACAGGCAAGGTGAGCCGGCTGCTCCCCACACTGGGTATGGCCCAGTGCATCCTGGGAACGGGTCCCTTCGTCCCCGAGGGCCACAGCCACACCTGGGGGGCACCTAGCACCAAGACTGGCTTGTCAGAGGTGTTGGAACCCACCACCCTCCCCAGAGACCGTGAAGGCCAGTGTGTCTCCCACTCCCCTCCAGGCCTCTCTGCCTCTTCCCTCTGAAATGTGCTCCTCACACGCTTCTCAATTCGCTGCCAGTCTTATCCTTTTTTCCTGATTTTTACTTGTTTATTAGTGCATGTTTTCTCTGCACAGTGATCACACTGGTCACGGAGTTGGCGCACGGACATCATACGTCGGTCTTTTCTTTCCATCCTTGTCCTCTCCCTGCCTGTCCCTGCCTCCATCTCTCATCTGCCTTCCCTCTGCAAAAGGTCTCCATGTTTCCTATCGTTTACCTTTTATTTTGCTCCCTCCCTCATTTACACTTTAGGTTTCCTGCGAGGAGAACCTGCGCTGTATTTAAGCCATGTCCGTGGTTTATTCCACTTAGCATTATGGTCTTGAGGGGACACATTTTCCTGCACATCTGCTAGGGCTCTGCTGTAGGCAGCCTGACTCCCAACACCCCATGGCATCTGCTGGAGGCTGCACCGAGGCCCGGGCGCTCTGAGCCTGTCAGGCACACACAGCTCTTTCTGGGCAGCAGTTGAGTCCCTGCACCTGGGCCCCGCCTCTCAACAGTGGCTGCTGAGCTTTGCACTGGTCTACAGCCGCCAGCCTGGTGCAGCGCAGCACTGCTGAGGTGACGGTCCGCCTCTGGGGGAACGAGGGTGACTGAATCACAGGAGCCAGGCATTCCCAATTGCCCTTTGTGAAGCTGTGAAGTCCATCTGCACAGAGCTTTCTTCTGAACTGCTGGGGCTCAAATCCAGAGCCCACACCTGCCCCACACAGCTCACCACCAAGCTACTGCAGCCCCACTTGCAGTCCTCTGGCATGGACCGGAGGGAGCAGGACCAGCCTCATCCAGCTGGGGACAGGCCTGCTTGGCGTGGGGACAGGGGCTTCAGGGTACAGAAGGTGGGTGGAGGGTGCTGTGGCACAGCCAGGGCCTGGACCTTAGATAGTGGGGGCTGGAGAGAGGCTGGGGTGGGGGAGGCTGCAGAGAAGGCCAGGCCTGTCCTCTGAGGCTGCCAGTTCCAAGGTCAGTGTCTAGCCATCCCCACAGGGCCAGGAGTATACAAATGTGGCATTCACTTGAGCCTGCCGACCCCTGACCTCAGCTGACCCCGCCAACCCACCTGACCCCAGCACCTGTTGCTGGCTCTGGGGGCTCCTGGCCAGCTGCTTCTCGAGGTTTTTCTCCACACTGTGCCTGCCCTGCAGGCGATCTACTTCACAGCCCTGTTTCCCTACCTGGTCCTGACCATCTTCCTCGTCAGAGGCCTGACCCTGCCTGGGGCGACAGAGGGCCTGATCTACCTGTTCACCCCCAATGTACGTGGTCCTGGCCCAGCAGCTTCCCCTCCCTGGAGCTCCCCATGGGCAGTGGCTCCCAGGCAGTGCAGGTGGGGCTCTGGAGCAGAGGCAGCTGGCAGGACGGTGGTCAGGCTTGGACACGTATGGGACATCTGTGGACTGGGGCACATGGGATAGGGTTCAGAGGCAAGCTGGGCATGCAGGGGCCACACAACTGAGCAGGTACTGGCCCTGCACCAGCCTCACACCAGGAGCACAGGTCTGGGGGACCTGTGCCCCTCCAGCCATTTCACACCGTCCAACAGCTGCAGGTGGGGGACATAGGTGCCCCCACATCTACCCCAACGTGGCGGAGGCATGTAGCTCTGCCCAGGCCTGTGTCCAGGTGGCCCGTGTTAGGCTTTCAGCTCTGGAGGCAAATGCCAAATGCTAGGTGAAGGGACAGGGGAAGCCCCAGGCTAGTGCCCACCAGTGGGGCAGGGACAGACAGGGCTCTGTGGCCTCTCTGAGCTGTTCACCTCTGTGGGTCCAGGCTGCCCTTAGCATCTGAGCAGCTCACCCTGCTACAATGCCTGAAGCAGAAGGGAAGGTTCGGGAGTGACCAGGTTGCCCAGCCAGCCAGTGCGGTTTCCCCACTGTGTAACGAGGCCTCCCCACCTGATCCAGGTGCAAATTCTCCTGAATCCCCGGGTGTGGCTGGACGCGGCCACACAGATCTTCTTCTCTCTGTCTCTGGCCTTTGGAGGACACATAGCTTTCGCAAGCTATAACCCGCCCAGGTAGGCGGCCGGCGGGGTGTGGACACTTTTATAGCCACATGTGGAGCCAGCAGGGCCCAGGGGCAGGTACCAGGTGCTTCTTTCTTTTGGGACAGATGTGGTGTGAGGGGGGCCACCTGGCTGTTCCCCTGAGCTAGGGCTTGGGCTGAGGCACCCTGGGACAACACCACCAGCCTGTGCCTGTGGTACCCACTGGGGCCTCTCAGAGCCAGGATCGAGGCTCAAGTCAGTCGGCTCTAAAGCTGCCAGGCAGGCTCCGAAGAGCCACGGTGTTCACTAGGGAAATGGAGAGTTAAAGGGAATGCAGCCTAGAAACTCACGGAGGGTGAAGCGGGGGAGCTGTCAGGACAGAGGTGAGCAGGCCAGCAGGGCAACCGGGCAGGGCCAGGTGAGCAGATGCTGGGCCAGTGTCCTGAGCCATGTTCCTGTCACAGTCACTCACGAGTGCTCTCAGCCTCCTGGCTCTGCTTTTTCACTGCCAACATGAGCAGCTCCATTTCTATGGCAACTTCCATGTTCCACTCACACCAGCATGACACTCACCAAGAGGTGGTTCACACATGGCCGTGAAAGCAGACACGCATGTCCTCCTGTGGGTCAGCTGGAATAGGGTGGAGGTCGTGTCACGTGACACCACCGGCGTGATGGGGCAGGCTTGGGGGCGACAGGGCAGGAATCTGGCTGTGTCCACAGCATCCCAGACAGCCACTGCGTGTGTCTAGGAACAACTGCAGGCGTGATGCTGTGATCATTGCCCTGGTCAACAGCGCGACCTCCCTGTATGCGTCCATCACAATCTTTGCGATCATGGGCTTCAAGGCGATCAACGACCACGGGCAGTGCCTAGACAGGTGCGCATTTCCTGTGTCCTCCCAGCAGTGCCCGTCCCAGGCCTGAGGCCATGGTGGCTTCCTGGGCTGCACGGGTGAGCAAGCCTCGATGTCCTGGCAGGAACATCCTCAGCCTCATCAACGAGTTCAGCCTCCCAGAGCTGAGCATCTCCAGGGATGACTTCCCTGCCGCGCTGCTGCACCTCAACACCACCCACCCGGGGAGGGTGGCCCGTCTGCCCCTGCGAGCCTGCCGCCTTGAGGACTTCCTGGACCAGGTGCCCACAGGGAGGCTGTGCAGCCGGGATGGTGGGAGGATTTTGACCCCAGAGTGGTGGGAGTCGGTCCTGGGGCCATGGGCTCTGGGCCCAGGCAGGCTGCACATGTCCTGAGGCCCAGGGCCCTCCTCCCTGCTCATGGGGACAAGGAAAGGAGCAATGAGCCCTGGCCCCCGAAGGCTGCGTCGACACCCACCACAAGGGACACGCACGCATGTTGCAGGGAACCTCGGGCCCTGGCCTGGCCTTCATCGTCTTCACTGAAGCTGTGCTGCACATGCCGGGCGCCCCCGTGTGGGCTGTGCTGTTCTTCGGGATGCTCTTCAGCCTGGGGCTGTCCTCCATGTTTGGGAACATGGAGGGAGTCATCACACCGCTCCTGGACATGGGGGTCCTGCCCCGCTGGGTCCCCAAGGAGGTCCTGACTGGTGAGTGGATGCTCAGCCACCTGCAGGGCCTGCCCCCACATCTGACCTCCAGGCCTGCTGCCTGTTCCTCTCAATGTCCAAGGGCCTGGCCCTGCGGGAAGTTCAAGGAGGGGACAGTGGGGAGAAGGGACAGGGAGGCCCTGCCTGTGCACCCCCGCTGCCCCACTGTCCCCAGGGCTGGCCTGCCTGGTCTGCTTCCTCTCGGCCACCTGCTTCACGCTGCAGTCTGGAAGCTACTGGCTTGAGGTCTTTGACAACTTTGCGGCCTCCCTGAACCTGGTCACCTTTGCCCTTCTGGAGGTGGTTGGGGTCACGTACGTGTACGGCATGGAGCGGTAAGCTGCTTTCCTGCCTGGTATGTGCCTCAACACCCAGCAGCGTGGGTGGGCATGGGGCTGCCCAGACCTGAGAGCTCAGCCTGGTGCCTGTGGAGGCCACAGCTCCTGCCACTCCCTGACTCCCACCAAGGGCAGGTGTCCCCCAGGCAGATGCACCAGGCACCTGAGCCTGAGCCCATGCCCATGCAGGTTTTGTGCCGATGTGGAGTGGATGACTGGGCGGCGACCCAGCCTTTACTGGCGAGTATCATGGCGGGTGGTGAGCCCCCTGCTGCTGCTGGGCATCCTCCTGTCCTACATAGTCCTACTGGCTCTCAAGTCACCCAGCTACAAGGCCTGGAACCCCCAATATGTAGGTCCTGCCTGCACAGAGGGGTGGGGGCACTGCAACTCCAGGGGTGGCTGGCAGGGCAGGGGACCCACACGTGGACGCTCATGCTTGCTGGTGGAGGCCTGGCAGCTGGAAACAGGCTTGCTGCAAGGTCTGTGGCCCCCAGGGTCCAGCATTCCTGGTGGGCAGAGCCAACTCCATATCCCCAAGACATTGGGGGGGGGCAGGCCAGGCAAGTGGGGACCCCAAGGCTTCCTAGTTGTTTCTGCCTCCCTCAGGACCTGAGGGCCTCATTCCACATGTGCTGTGCCAGGGAGGCCCCTACAGCATCCTTGTGCCCATTCAGCCTGGCAGGGGAGGGCACGGCACAGGGCCTCAGCACCCAGGGTGGCATCTGGCTCTTCTGCAAGCCTGGGAGCAGCAAATATGGGCATGGCCCCTGAAGAGTTCTATAGGTCACCACAGGCCACCGAGAGGCACCTCAAAGTGGGGGCAGAGAGGGGACCACATAGCCCAGGTCACATCTCCATGGTTCCCTGCTCCATCTCATCTCTGCCTAAGTCAGATAGTATAAGCCCTCACTTCTGGCTTAGGAGGGGACACTTCTGATCCAGTCCAGTCCTGGTGGCCAAGAGCCTGCTAAGTGTTCCTGTGGCCCAGGTGACACTGAGCAGGCCCTCTTGTCCCCTAGGCGCTGTTCCCATCGCAGGAGGAGAAGCTCTATCCCCACTGGGTGCAGGCCACCTGCGCACTCCTGTCCTTCCTGCCCCTGCTGTGGGTTCCAGGGTACGCGCTGGCCCAGTGGCTGGCCCGGCACAGGCGGCAGGACACACAGCAGGACACTGGCCTGAAGCTGCAGGATGGCAGTGGCTGCTGAGGAGTCCCGGGCCAGGGCAGCCAGGGTGGGGCTGGGGGCCGCCCGCCTGTAGTCACTCAGACCTAGCCCCATTACATGCTCTGTACCGAATGAGGCCTCGTGATTGCTGCTCCCAGCTGTGTCCAAGCACCCTAGGCAGGAGTTAAGAGATGTCCCGGGAGCTGAGCCTGGACAGTGGCAGTAGTGCTTCAGTCTGGCCCACCAGGTCTCCGGAGCACAGCCATGTGGCTGTTTGCCACCCCAGGAATCCATGCCGGCTAGGGCAACATTGAAGGGTACCAGCTGGCACACAGCAAGGGCGTCCCTTTGCCTGTAAGCACCCTGGCTCAGGGTAGCCCTCGAGGACAAGCCATGCTCACAGGAACCTCAGTCAGTAGAAGGTGCCCTACCTTCCCAAGAGGATGGCAAGTCCAGGAGGTGGAGTGCACTGAAGGGACATCAGAGAGCCTAGGGACGCCCCTGCAGACCACATGTTGATGCCGCCTGAGGCTATTCCTGAGAAGCACTGAACATGCTGCTTTCATTTTCCCAAAGCAGCTGATTTTTGTCTACGACAGAACTAAGAGGCTGACAGTTGGCGAGTCCCCTGTACCTCAGGGCCCGGGTAGGGGGCACTGCTACCTTCCCCAAGCCAAGCCTCGGCCACAGTCCTGCAAGCCCTGGAAGGCTGTCCTCACCCCTGCTCCGCACTCCCTTTGGCCCTTTGGCACCATGGAACCAGTCAGGCCCAGGCAGTGCAGCCCCACCTGGTGCCTACAGGAAGCCGGGGCGGGGCAGCGCTGTCCACGGTGCTGGAGACCAGGCAGGCCACAGGCACTTCGTGCATGGCTAGGGTCAGATGCCTGGTCCAAGTCCTGCCAGACTCCACGGCAAACAAAGGCACAGCCACAGCCGCCCAGTTGCAGAGTGCAGAACTGATTCTGGATGTCCCCACCCCAGTGCACCTCAAGTCTCAGAAGGGCTTTCCTAGGGGTCCCTCCCAGCCACCACTCGCCATACCCACTGAGATGGTGACAAGCACGTGAGGGTAAGCACACCGCATAGAGGAGTCTGGACACAGGGCAGCCCCACAATGCCACCTCACACCACCCCTGCTTGCCAGTCCGTGGCTACCACCAGAGACACGAGATAAGCCAAGGGGAAACCTTTGGGCCCCACTGGACCCAGTGCCCACTGCCTGCTTGCACCTTTCTCAAGGAGCCCCTCCCCCTCGATGTCCTAACATCCCTCCTGGTCTGCAACCAAAGTGAAACCCCACTCTGGAGCCTGAACATTAAACCACAGGGCAGGCAGGGTGAGCCTGGGCAGGGGCTGACAGGGCTGTGGTTTGCACCAGAGGGTGCCTGGCAAGTCCAGTGTGCAGATATGGGGTGCAGGAACCCTGGGGCCAGTCAAGCCCAATGCTGGCCCTAAAGTAGCGGGGGCTGCCGGCAGCAGGGTGCAATCAGCATGCAGCTTTGGCCAAGGTTGCATTCCCGACCACACATTTTTAAAACTTCTAGAAGCTGAGTAGGATCCCTGGGCCCCGACCTGGCGGGCGCGAGACATCACGAAGGTGGTGCTGCAGCAGATGACTCCCTGGGGCCAGTCCCAGGTCTGCAAGGGTTTACTAGAGGGGCAGATGGGACACAAGACATACACGTGTGTGAGACTACAAGACTGGCTTATAACAGTCGGCCAGACAAGGAAGAAATGTACAGAGGCCTCCAAACGGGAGGCCAAAGATTCCAGTCCAAGGTCTGGAGCTCACTGCAGGGTCCCGTGAGTCTGTATCAGGCCGATGGGTCTGTGACAGAAGCCAAAAAGTCTACGGTGGAAGCCAGGAGATGATGTCCAAGTTGCAGTGGAAGACTGGAGCTTGTCCTCCTCCTCTGAGAGGGAAGCAAGCGGGCGTGTCCTTTCTCATCTCCCCTTTGTACAGTCCATGGGAACGGCCTTAGTGAGACCCCTCAAGTGAGGAAATGCTGGGCCTGTAAATACCTGGAGCTGACACCCTCAATTTAGCATCACACCAGAGTTGCACTCCAGCCCAGTAGGCCAAGACAGGCCCCACAGAGCAAGGGGTGAGCTGAGCCCTGTTGGCACACCAGTGCGGAGTTCAGCAGTAGCAATGGCAAACAGGACAACGCCTGGCTATCTCAAACCCTGGCACAGAGCTCACCATGGCATCAACTGGAAGACTCGTCCAAGGGGCTCCAGCCCGGAAGCCACCAGGACAGCCCCACACCATGCAGGTGTAACCCAGGCACCAGAAGGGTGGGATCAGATCAGTCCTTCAGGGCCCCAGGGCCATGCTGGGAGGGAGTCCCTGTCCCCATCTGGTGCTTGCTCCACAGCGGGCCCCAGCCTAGGCTGTCACTGGCTTATGTCCATAGCCAAATCCCTACCCAGTGTCACACTCCAAGGCTACTGTTCCACTGCAGGACCATATGGAGAGGCCCCCGCAGGTCAAAATGTAAATTCCCAGACCCTACCCCATCCACAAGGCATCCACAGCTGGCCACGCACTACTGACCTTCCCCTCAGCAAGCTTCCTGGTCCTCACTGGGACACTCCAGAGCCAGCACCCCAAACCCAGACTTTCCCAGAGGCCAGCAGGTCCAGCCCTCACCTCCCTGTATTCCCTCTGTACTATTCCCCACATGAGCAGGACCTCACCTTGCCTACCCTGGTGCCATGCCACCCCCTGCCCATCACCACCCCCCTCACAGCCTGTGAGGACCGGCTCAGCAAGCACACATCACCTCCCTGTGATGTGTAGAGCCCACCTGTGATGTCTGTCCCACATGCCCAGCCTGATCCCCACGCCTGAGCTCAGCAAGCCCAGAGCTACTCTGCCCTCCCAGAGGGTCCATGCTGCCATGAAGGACAAACGAGCCCACAGCCCTCAGCACTTGGGGAAGACAGAGGAACAGATGTGGAGGGATGCAGAGCCAAGACCCCGACTGCCCACTGTCTGCACATTACACGTCCACCTGCTTGGCCCAGGGGCAGCAGATGGGGCAGGGGGAAGCAGGCACAGCGCTAGCCCTGTGCGTCCAAACTGCCCACTGCCAACCCGGGGGACCCTTTCAAAGCTCCACATTGGAAATAACAGCCAGGGAACCAGGACTGTCTAGGCCAGTGACAGGGAAGCTTTTAGAGCTTTTGATGATACAAACGACCCATATGCCATGGGTTTGATACCACTGCCCCAAGCTGAGGGCTCAGGAGCAGCCCTGGGATCCAGGATGGTGTCACATCCCAGTGGTGTGACACTAATGCAGTGCTGCTGGTAGAGTTCTTGGGTGTCCCTGCAGATGACACCAGCATGGATGCTCGGCCCCAGTGCCCACAGTGGGTGCCTACTTGCTTCCCAGTGGCCAGGGCCCATTCCTGGGGGTGCTTCCCTGAGGACATGCAAAGGCAGACCCACCATGGGAGGTACTGGAAACCCCCTTCCTGAACCCCGGGGGTCTCGGGAGTTCACAGAGCTCTGGGCTGGCCGGCCCCTCCTGAGACAGGTCCTGATGAGGCAGGTGGAGGCTGGCTCAGTCCAGGATGGTCTTGAAGTCCACAGACAGGGCTGGGTCAGTTGCAGCCTCCAGAGCAGCCAGTGTCACCTCAGGGAGCTTCGCACGCAGCCGTGTCTGGGCTGCAACAGTGACGGGATTCAGGCTCTTCAGCCAGACTTGGGTCACGCCAACTGGCCTGAAGGACAGGCACTTGCCTGCCTCAGACTCGGGGCTCGGGGGTGGCCATGGAGCAGCAGGGTAGCATGGCACTGGATCCTGAACAAGCAGGCTGAGGACAGTGCTCCCCAGGTGAGCTCACCTGTCCGGAGTGGGCCCAGAAGACACTTGTAGGTGGCACGGTGACGACCCAGCTTGAGCAGGAAGGCCTGGTGGCAGAGCCACTGGGCAGCTTCAGAGGGAAACGGGCCAGCAGCGCCCTTGGCCCCCAGAGACAGCCCTGGGAGCACACGGAGGTTGAGGGCCCATGTGCACCCCAGCCCTGCACTCCCAAGGTGCCCCATGCTCAACACCCTGGCCTGTGGCTCCCACACAGCTTGTGCCTCACTGGCGCCTCACAGGCAGCCTGCCCTACGCGTACCTGCGTTCTTGGCTTTCAGAATGGAGTAGCAGCACGACGCAGAGTCGGTTATGATGCCAAGGAAAAAGGAGGGGTTCCTGCTCACTGGCTGGTGGAACGGCAGTTGCAGCACACATGCGTGGAACCTGGGAGCACACACACGTGGAAACTGGGAACGTGTGCAGAGCATGTGCACATGCACGACACTGAGCGGTGAATGTAGTAGTCTCCTGGTCAGAACACACTCACGGGGGCTTGTGCACATGTGCACGTCTGTGTGTATACAACTGTGTGTATGTGAACACGTCCTGTAGGTCATGTCCTTGCTTGTGCACACTCTTGCTAGACAAGGCCCTGCCAGGTGCCTTGGGAGTGGGGCCAGGCTCTGCCCGACATGTCCATCCACCAGAGCCGGGGGCACAGGGGCTGGGGCGAGGGTTAGGGCTCTGCGCAGTGCTGGCCCTGCTTCTTTCCAGTCCCTTCCTAAAGAGCTGACAGTGCTCACGCCTGCTCCCCCCTCCTTCTGCTCTGGGGACGGGAAGGGGCTGGGCCACAAAGACGACAGCAGCTGCCTCTGATCCAGCCTGCGTCTGTGTCTATTGGCCTTCCTGCGGCCTCCAAAAAGCACCCCATTCCCGCGATAGCTACACATGTCGCTGCTGGCCCCGAGGTTCGAGAGCTCTGCAGGAAGCCCCTGCAGAGTCCGTGCCCGAGGGGAAGTGCCCAGTGAGGTATGTGGAGGAGTATGACCTACAACTGCTCACACAGCCCCACCCTTGGGACCAAAGATGGGGTGTCCAGGAGCTGTGGGCACCCAAGTGGCCAGCATGTGGGTGCAGGGCAGAGACACCACTGCAGCACCTCATCTGCTGCTCTCTAGGATCCCAAGTTCCTCACAGGCCACACTGCCACACCACACTGATGACGAAGGACATGAAGCCCTCAGCACAAGGTCAGCTGAGCCATTGCCGAGCCTCTAGCAGTCCCTGGTGGCCACACATGACCCACCTGTAGGCCTGCAGCAGGAAGATCTGGTAGATGTTGATGAGGACAGTCCGTAGGCTGTTCACCTGGCCATGGGGACAGAGCGCATCAGCAGTGCCCGGAGTGACACTCAGTAATTCTCTCCCCAGGCTCCCAGCCAGGTTTCACCAGGGACACTGCCACAAAGGGGACCAACGGGCCTAAACCATGGTAGTTGCCACAGAAGGCTCAGAGCTAGGACCCCTGAACCCCAAGAGGAAGGTAGGTGGGGCCAGAGGTGGCAGGGACAATTGGATGAGCAGTGAAGAGACCCTGACCTGACCGCACACAAATGTGCACCTACATGCACACACACTTTGCACCCATGCACACAGGACACCCTGCCTGAGAGTCCCGTCACTCACCTGCAGGTCCAGGAAGAGAGCGTGGCACTTCAGCCGTAGCACTGCCAGCAGCTTGCGGCGTGCACTCCACCCCACCCGGGTACCTCGGTCAAAAGTGAGGCTGGCCCTGATGGAAGTCCGGGCATAACTGCAGCAGAGTTGGGTGTCAGGACCATGACCCCACAACCCAGTCCTGCTCGAGGCCAGCTCCATGTCTGGGACCCAAATGGCACTTCCTGGCGTAGGTGACTGCTCTGCATGCTTCTCACATGGCATGACCTAGACCCTGCGCCCCATGTTCTGGGGAACCAGTGTCAGCGTCAGCTTAACCTCTGCCCAAGACCATACTATCCAGGTTTGGTCATGGTGACAAAGGAGGCTGCCAAAATCCATGTTACTCAGCCAGAATGTTAATGCCACAAGAAATCAGAGGCCACTGACCCCCGTCCCCATGCAGACACGTTACACTTTCCTGGAGAGTGCCTGACCCAGCCCTAAGACGCCTGATTGAAGCTCACAGAGGGCCACGGAGAGCAGGGGGCTTCCCCTGCCACCAGCCCTGTGTGCAGTCTGCTTGGAGCCACACCCGCACACCTGGCCTTCGCATGCCTTGGGCTGGGCATGCAACACTCCTGGGAAACGCAAGTGCAATAGTGACGACAGAGTCGTCCCGCGAGTGTCGTGTGGTCAGACGCCTGCAGTGCCATTCCCTGGGCTGATGACTGGCCGCCCTGGCATCTGAACAGTTGGGACTTCTGATGCCCCTATCACCTCTCCCAGGACCTGTGTGCTGGTGTGGACACTGGGAAGCTTTTAAGCAATGCATGTCATGGGCTCATGAGGCCGGCTCTGGAGACAGCCTGATGAGGCTGGGGACCGGGATACCATGCGATTCACTTGTGTGATGTTCTTCCAGCAGCTTGAGAGGGGCTCACCGCCCCAGTGCCACCTTCCCAGCTAGCCGAGTCACCACCTGGGGCGTGGGACCAATGCAGACTCCTAGGCCCAACAGCTGGCGAGGGGAAGGAACGGGGATAAGGCACCACCTGCTCAGATGCTGCGGCTATTGCTGCTGCGGCTGCAGCCGCCCTCCCGACACTGAGTGTGGGGCACTCGCCTCCCTCTTCTCTGAGTCCGCTGCCACTGTCACTTCTGTCTGTATTCAAACCCTTTCCCATCAGGACTTGTTCCAGTTTACTCGGCAAGTGAACACAACTCCTTTCCAGTCAGCTTTCTTTGGGAAAAAAGACCAACCCCTTTCCCGCAGACGGTACCATGTACAAACCAGCTGGGTGGCCCTCCAGGCTTCCACACTCCCAGGCCATGTGGGGAAACTTGGGGAAGGCATGTCTCCCTCGGTCATGCAAAGGCTCTCCTCGTCATTCTCCCTAAACGGTGAGCTGTACCCACCACAGAACACCACACAGGGACACTTTGAGGACTGCACTGTCCCAGACCACAGTGTTCTCAGGGATCCCAGCATACAGCCTCTCGAGGAGCCCCAAGGGGAGGCTGTGTGATGGCCACTCTGCACTCTCATCCTGCAGGTCAGGTCCCTCAGATTCCGCCACCCAGCTGCAGTTTAGGGTAGAATAAAACACTGATCGCTCTTCTGTCTTCAGGTACCACCCGGCCGTCTCCTGAGGGCCCCTCTTGTGTCCCAGGGGAGCGCTCTACCCCCAGTTCCACTGTGAGGAGAATCACTGTGCCACAGCATGCTGGACCATACCTGCACCGTGGGGCTCCCACATGTGGTAACTCCAGCACGGGCTCCGGGGTGCCACACTCACCCCTCCCACATGCAGGCCACTTCCTAGGAGCACTGGACAGCAAGTCCAGCTCTGGAGGACAAAGCCCAGACAGCTGGGGGTACCAGTGTGAGGAGCAGCAAGGTCATCCCCTGCCACGATGCTGGTGTTTTTCACTCATAAAAGCATCTGGACTTCTGCAACTGACTCCCCATGTTTCAGATGGGGGCCACTCAGGGTCGGGTTTTGTTTCTGGGGACACCTGGTAGGCCCCAAATCTAGGTAATGTCCTCTCCAGGAAACCGAGGATGTGTGCATGTCCCCCAGATGGAAAGGTTACCCTGCGGCTCTCAACGGCCTGAGCCCAAGGTCACCCACTATACACAAAGGGAACAAGCACAGGGCCGGTGGGGGCTCATACACACCTGGCATAGTCGCAGCGTACCTCCAGGGTCCGTGTGTCCAGCAGTAGCCCACACCAGGGGAACAGGCAGTGTGCAGGCAGCTGCAGTGGGGCGGGGCTGCCCAGCTCCCCGTCCTCCAGAGGGAAGTTCACCACTGTCTTCTGCAGGTTCAGTGTGCAGCCGTACTCAGGGATGCCCTGGACAAGGGCCCTGGAGGGAGGGAGTCTGCTGCAGGATGAGACTGCGCCTGGTCCCCCCAGTGTCCCAGAAACAGAGAGCTGAGCCAGATGCAGCCCCAATAGAGGTGGACACAGCTCCATTCTGGGCCCTGGTAAGAGGTGGGGACTCAGCAGGAGTTGGCTGAGAAAGGGGACAGGGTGCAGCCGAGCAGTGACCAGGGGACACCTGACAGGTCTCAAGTGTCCGCATGGCAGGGCCCGGTCCCCAGGGACCTGCTCACTGCTATCAGGGCCATGGGCCACTTCCTCCCTGGTGACCTACCCACTCCCACATGGGCACCACTGTGAGGGCTCTGTGTGTGAGCAGCGTCCACCTCTAAGGAAGGGCCTTCCTTCTTGAGCACAGGCCTTCTGTTAGGTTCCCCTATGCCTTCCCTCCCAAAGGGGATAGTGCCCACCACATGTTCTCCTCAGCCCTGCCCACCGCTCCATCTCCTGGGGACCCAACACCCACTCAGTCACATCCTGGACCAAGACCTTCAAGCCAGAGATGCCCCCAACTCTCAACAGAGCCCTCTGTCCCTGTGGACACAGTCTGGGGCCCTGAAGCCCTGTGGGCACAGCAGATGCCCCGTGGCCGTGGGACACTGCTCTCAGGCAGTGACGGTCTGGAGGTTCACTGTAGCACTCCCAAGTTTCTCCTCCTCGTAAAGTCACCCTGACAAGCTCGGAGCCACAGAGCTGCAGGGTGTGGGGTGGGGCGGGGGCAGGGTGCTCATCCTACGAGCTTTGCTTTCTGGCAGGCTCACGTGGCCAGGTCAACTTTAAGGCCATCCATTCTGGGGTACCCAGTGACCCTGGTCTGGTCCCCGAACTGTGGATCTGTCCTGAACTCTCACACCATACTCCAAGTACCCCCAGTATCAAATCACGACCACTCAGTGAGTCCTATGAATCCCATAAAGAAAACCCAGGCTGCTAGGCTGCAGACTGCCCCAGCCACTTCCCTGTGCTGGTGTGAAGCAAACTCCAGGACATGGCGGGTCCCAGGGTGGGAACTGGGGCCCTGCAAACAGTCCTCCCAGGAAGGAGCTATGGGCAGAGTGTGGGATCTGGATTCTAGCAGCCTCCAGCCACGTAGTAACTCACAGGAGGCCGAGGGGGTTGTGCCACCCCTGGGGTTCCACGGACATCCCCAGGTCCGGCAGCAGGGACACTGCCAGCCTTGGGAGTAGCTCAGCCCCACAAGGCTCATATGACATGTGTCACGACTATGTATGAGAGTTGTAAAGTCAGGGGACGGGGCGGGGATCTTACCTAAGGAAGGCTTTTGCCTGGGCCAGGTGAGGGGTCACCAACAGGAAGTCGTCAACCAAGCGCAAGAGCAGCCTGCGGCAAGGAGGTGGGAGGCGTGCGTCACACTAACATACTAGGGATCCAGTGTCGGAGACGCAGACCCCTGAACCCATGCAGGCGGGACACAGGCAGTGGGCAGTGCGGAGGAAAGGTTGAACAAACACTTGAAATCCCTTTATCTAGCATTAAGGTCCTGATTCCCAAAACAATTAATCGTTGGACCCAGGGACCCAGGGCAGCCCAGGATGGGACCTTGCGTGAGCCAAAGATAGACACAAGGGCCACTCTTTCAACATAGCCTTGTGGGGGAGGACAACTGAGCCAGGGTCCCTGCCCACTTTCAAGCCTCACAAGGCCTCTCCCCACACCACTGTGTGAACCTCCGCCCTGCCCAGGGAAGCTGGCACCCCATGTTGGGCGACCATGGAATGACTTCAGTGTCCAGTGTCCCTACGGACCCTGCCTCAGGTCTTCGTCCCAGCAGATGGCCACATAGTGTGTGGTCAGCTCAGGGACACAGCCCCCATGCTCCTGGCCAAGCAGCACTGGTAAAGTTCAGTTTTTTTCCTTTTACCTGAATTTATTCCAGTGTGCAACCTGAACCTTTGTCAATGACACAAGTGATTTAAAGGACACCCACAAAACCCAGACCTGGGAATGACGGCTGCCTGTGCAGCTGCACCTGTCCCACCCTATCTGAACAGAACATGGGGTGCCCATAGAGCTCGGTTGCTGTCAGCCATGCCCCACAGGACTCCAGCTGCACAGAAGTAACCTGACCAGCAGAAACACGGTGTTGGCGGACTCCAGACCAAGGTGCTGACTGATGGGTCCGTGACAAAAGGCGCTGGGAAAGACACCCTCCAGCCATCAGCCCCATCCCCAAGGGACACTTGCAGGTACAGAGGGACCCGAGATGTGTCTTCCGCCTGCATCCCCACAGCCTGACTGCCCAGCGGTGGGGGCCATGCAAGGCCCCTCGCCACCACCCGGCAGCACCTGGGGAGGCACAACAGCCTGGTCTGGACCCTCAAGACAAAGCAATACAGCACCAGTGCCCTGGAGCAGGGAGCCCTTACCCATCCTGCCACACCCCACTGAACAGTACATTCTCCATGTCTCCATAGCAGAGGCTGCAGAGCAACGTGGACAGGATGGAGCCCTGAGGGATTCCCCGGCCCTGGATGTAGCACCTGGGGAAGAGGGCAGAGGTGGGCAGGCATGGAGGGGCTCTTGCTCACACCCAACAGATGCACACGTGCACTGTGCCAGGGCACAGAGGCAGAGGGGAGAGACTGGGTGCCCGGGGCTGGGGTGGGGGAGTCAGGCCAACTCACTTGCCACCGACCCTCAGGATGCTGCTGCGTAGGAAGCGCAGGAAGAGGTTGAATAAGCTGCTGCTGGGCTCGTTTGGCAAGCAGCTCTGGACAAGCAAAGCAGAGGGCAGGCATGAGCACCGGGACTGCGGCCACAGACGCCCCTTTGGGGCTGGGTCACGGCCTGCAGACACTGAGTAGCACCTGTCCCAGCCCTGTGGCCCTGCATCTGGGGTGACAAGAACTGGCCCAGGGTCACTTACTGTCCCTTAGAGGACATGACCACCCCACTGCAGGTTCTGGAAGAAGCCGCAGTTAAATCCATTTTGACCACTTCCTGTGGCCTCGTGAGTCACCGATAAAGTGATGGGGGGAGCTAGCGAGGCCAGAATGGTCTATGCTAAGCAATGGACCCTTGCCACGGAGAGTGGGGCACAAGGGACCTGCTCGATGATGATGGCGTCTCTCAGTCTGCACGCCTCCTGCAGGTGCTCCACAAACTGGCTCATGTATGGCTGGAGGTCGGCAAGGGTGGAGACCTGCAAGGAAGGGAGGAAGGGTGTGGGGGCAAGTAGGGATCCCAAGGCCACCAGCCCTGTCACTGGGCCCCAAGTCTGATGGGGCAGAGGCGGGACACCCCGAGACTCCTGCTGTGAACCAGTCAGTGCGGGCGTTCTGGGGCAGAAGTGGCACCACGAGGCTGGCTCTGCTCAGACCAGCTGCCCCTCTGGTGACGGCAACCCAACCACCAATTCCTGGGCCATACACAAGGATTTGGATTTCAGAGGAACCAGGCTCGCTTAAGCATTTTCAGGAAAGGAAGCTTTGACACCCACATCAGGGCTGCACCCAGGAAGCAGGCAAAGGAGCAACGCTGTAACCTGAAGAAGCCAGGAAGAGAAAATACAGAGCAAAACCTGACTGAGGAGAGAGAATGGGAGCACAGCAGCCTCAGAGGCTGTCCCGAGGAGACCCGGGTCTGCTGGCTGAGAAGGCAGATGCTGGGGTCGGCTGACAGCGGGGCCCCAGGAGGTAAATCCACTGTCCCAGAGAATCCCAGGGAACCCAGCGTGCAAGAGGCACCAGCCACTCTCAGGAGCAAGGATGCCCGAGCCCAGGGGAGTTACACCCGCAACTCCCCAGACACCCGCCAAGCTAGGGGGATGTCTGCCAGTCTACCCAGAGACTGTGCAGATGGCTCCTAGATCCGAGGCTGAAATACCTGCTCTAGGGGCAAAAGCTGAGAATGCCATCATACCAGATCACCTGCTGAAGACGCATTGCCAGGAACGGACACGGGGAATCACGAGGTGACTGCTGTGTACACCCAACAACTGCCCAGGGTGGACAAGGCAGACAGACCAAGCAGAGGCCTCGGGCATAATGAGCACCCAAGAACCACAAGCAACAGTAGCACCAGCTCGGTCACAGTGCACAGAAGGCATCCGAGAACGCATGTACTCCAAAAGGGCCACAGTGTGAAGCGGGCCCAGCTCCCTACATGGTCAGGAAAATGGTGGCCATGACACATGGCAGCTCCCGGTGCCCTGTGGCCTGGCTGCAAACCAAGGCACTGACACACGGACTGTCATGTGTGTGCAACACGTGGATGTGTATGCGACACATGTGGGAGGGGAAACTGCACAACTACCAAAACCAGGGTGCAGCAGCTCTACTCTGGGTATAACTGCCAGCAGGGCTACACCAAGTAGGACATCCCCAGAGGGGCCACAAAGGACAGCATAGGCCAGAAGCTGTCTGTGGTGGAGACAGACCATAGGCAGCATTCAGCCTGGGACCCACCAAGGTGGCCAGGTGCAGAAGGCAGCCCAGGGAACCAATGACCACAGACACCCTCTCTCGGTAGCAGCCACAGGTGTGCACGCCCAGGTCTAGGATCCCCACCCATCTTGTCTCAGGAGAGAGCAGAGCCTGAGCCTGGAACCCCTCTGCAGTGCAGACCCTGGGGCTAGAAAAGGACCTGGATACGTGAGGTGCCACACCAGCCACCAGTGTGCTGGGATGGGCACCTCACTATGACCCCTGTGGAGGGAGCCAGGTCCCACATGCCCACAGCACTGACACACAGGCACGCCATTCCTGTGCCATGGACACAGGTCACAGGTGTACATACCACCCCGTGCGCACTGTCACATAATGAACGCACCCCAGGGCCGCGCCTGCCTTACGTGTCTCCTGTAGGACCTGCGTGCCTGTCCCCTGGCGGCTCTCTGCACCACGGCGTAGCGGCGGATACAGTACATGTTCTCATGGGGTCTGAGGACCTTGGCAACCACCTCTGCGACTTTATCCTGTGGGAGGGCGTCGTATGCCCCCGACACATCTGCCTGCAGGGTGCAGGGAACCCCTGAATGCCGCCTCTGAGTCAGGAGGGCAGGACCCAGCATCCAGACCACTAGGGAACTACACTGGGCATGTTAGGCATACCCTGCCCAGCCACACCTGTGCCTTTGCAGGACCCATACCCATGCAGAGCACCCTGTGGCAGGGCAGGACCCGCTTTAGCCTGGGTGCCCACTGCTCCCTTCTTCTGAGTGGCTGTGTCCAGGGGGATCCTGCCTAAGCAGGAAGTCCCCAAGAAGCAGGGGTATAGGTTCAGCTCCTCATGCAAAAATCAAAGTCTCTGTCCTTGGAGCTGAATGTCCCTAGAAGGGGATAGGGCCCTTGTTCTCCCCAGTTAGGACAGAATCAAAGGTGGCCATGCCTGGTGATGGAGGAACTCTAGGGCCACCCACACTGGCCACTCCAGAGCCCCGTCTTAGATGGCTCGGGAATGCACAAGGCTGTGGTGGGGAGGCCAGCACGCACCTTGACAAAGTACAGCCAGGGCCTGGGGTCCTGGGCCCGCACATGCAGCGTGAAGGCCCGCCAGGCCCGGTAGGTGTCATCCAGGCCCAGCACGGAGGCACCCAAGAGCTCAGGCCGCCGTGTCCGCTCGTAATTTAGCACGCTGAACAGGGTCTTGATGCACGGGGTGAACTGCTGGGCCTGGGGATACAGGGCTGGCTCACTCAGGGGTTGGGGTGCTGCACAGCCCTCCGGGGGACAGAAAACCCATAGTGCCTGCCATACCACGGAGGGCAACATGGCACCCAAGGCCCATGGCCATAGCAGCAGTGCTCCCAGGCTTGAATGGCCCTCATTTGCCAGGAACCCGTGCCACTCTCCAAAACCCACGAGAACCAGCCTCGCCCTCCTCACATCCCTGCCCAGGGCTCCCGACTTCTCCGACACCAGTAAGGGCTGGGCAACTTTGTGTGGTCACCTTCCTGCCCCCATGGGAGGCACTGGTGCCCACCGTGCAGTCCATGCTCACGATGGGTCGGAGGCCGCTAAGCTTGGGCATGAAGCGCAGCCTGGACATGGGCAAGGCCGACCAGGCCTCCTGGTGCTGCCTGAGCTCTGTGGCTGACAGCTCCCGCAGCTGCACCCTCTCAAAGTGCTGCCTGCAAAAGAGGGCACCGGGGCACATGGTGGGTGCAGGTCATCTCCTGCTGGTGCAGCAGGCAGCACAGGAGGCCTGGCAAGCCTCCCAGGGCACCCATCCCATTAGCTGCCCATCCCCAGTGCCTGTCTGGGGTCCCCCCTGGCCACACTGTCTCTAAGGCCGGGGCACACTGTGGCTCCTTCCTTGGACAGGCTCAGGATGCAGTGTGGAAAGCCCTGAGGCTGGAGTGCAGACTGGGAGGCTCAGGAAGCCCCAGTCAGGCTGCTGGGACCTACGACGAGTGCTGAGACGGAAGTCAGAACACAGAAGCAGCTAGGCAGTAGGTGCTGTGCTCACTGGCCCAGCAGGGGAGACAGCACCCAGTTCAGTGCTGCTGCTTCTGCTCAGCACAAATCCACCACAGGAGTCCCCACCTGACCCATGGGACAGTGTGGGCTGGCAGGCAGTGACACCTAGCACTGACATCTCATCTGGAGACACCTAAAGCCCCACAGGGACAGCAAGGAAGACCGTACCTAACCCCGATGCCCTGCAGCTTGTGCCATAGGCACCTGCGGTAGAAGAGAAGCCTGTTTTTCTGAAACGTGGTCTCTGTGACGTAGAAGAAGGACCGGAGCAGCTCGACAACACATGTGTCCATCAGCCAGAACAAGAAAGTGGCCAGGACCTGCTCCCGCAGGCGGTGCTCTGCAGCCGGGATACAGCTGTCCTCTGGAATGAGAGGGACATGGCACCTGGCCCGGCTAGCCCCATGCCTCAGCCCAGCCCCAGTAGCCGGCACTGCAGCTGGGCCATGAGACACCTGCAGGTCCAAATTGAGGAAGCCACACACGTGACCCAGGCACCAGACCTGGTGACGTTCTTGGGGCAACCACACTTGGGCTACAAAGGTCACGCATGTGCCACCGCCAAACCAGGTTCCCCTTTTCTGCTTTGTAAGCGTGGTTGCTGGAAATGTCAGACTGAACTGGGAGCCCAGGCTCTGTTCCCACTGAGTGGCACTGACTTGGGTCTCATCGGGCACTGATTCGTGAGCCACTTGGAGAGGGCAAGGCATGCCCACCCACCCCTACTGACCCGAGGGTAGTGTTGGTGACACGGCTGGGCTGCAGGACACTGTGCTCAGCACCACGGGGCAGCAAGATCTAGACACACCTGGGCTTCTACCCAGGGCAGTGGCAGCCAAGCACACATGCTGACATGCTCTAAGAGACAACAGAGATTGATAGCCCTAGGCCCAGGGGACTGGGCTCCTCCTTGGTCCTCTGAGTCCTACCATAGGGCCTGTGAGAAGCTCTCCATAGGCATCTCTGGACCCAGTGAAACTGCAGCTCAGATAAAGCCAAACATGCTGAAGAGTAAAACTAGACCCACATCTTTCACCATGTTTAAACTAAAATAGAAATGGACAGAAACATTAAATCTGCGGGAAGCGAATACGTAGAATTCTGGAAGACAACGGCATTGGAAAAGACTTTGTGAACAAAACCCAGATTGCACAGGAACTATCACAAAATATCAACGACTAGGATCTCATTTTAAGAAGTTCTGAACAGGAGCTGGTTTTAGCTCAGCGGCATAAGCATCTGCCTTGCAAGCAGGCGGTCATGAGTTCAATCCCTGGTACTGATTAAAAAAAAAAGTTCTGAACAGAAAAAGAAATTACCAACAGAGCGAAGAGACAACCCACACAATGGGAAAAATTTTCCCTGGTTGTTCGTTAGACAAAGGACTAATATCTAGAATAAAGACCTCAAAACAAAATTAGACTCCTCCAAATGTAAAGACCCATCCAAAAATGGGTATTTGACATGAAAGACAGTTACCAGATGAAAAAGTAGAAGAAATAGATGAAAAACTGTTCGACATTTCTTGTCATCAGAGATGCACATGAAAACAACCCTGAGATTCCATCTCATCCCAGAAAGAATGGCTATTATCAAGAAATCAACCAATCAGAAATGCTGGTATAGTTGTGGGGAAAAAGGACCTTTTAGGTGGGAGTGTAGACTGGTGCAGCCACTGAGTGCTCCACATTGCAGTGTGGAGAATCCTCAAAACTAGAGGTTCCATTAGGCCCAGCTATTCCCCTTCTGGGTATCTCCCCCAAAGAATTAAAAACATCACACTGCAGTGATACACATGCACTCGTGTTTATAGCAGCATAGTTTGTAACAGCAAAATCTTGGAAACAGCTCAAAGCCCATCAATCAATGGATAAAAAACTATTCTGCTATATAGTGGAGTACTGCTCTGCCACAAAGGGTAAATATGAGATATTTCCAGGTAACTGGCTGCCCCTTGAGACCACACTCTTAAGTGGCATACGCCAGACACATGTTTAAACAGTGCACTGTTTCTCTGGTGTAAGAAACTGTAAATGTAAATAAGGACCAAAATGTATAACAGATACTAGGAAATGGGAAGAAAATGTTCAAATGAGAAGGGGAACAAGGTCGGGAGAAAAAGGGAAAAGGGAAAAAAATTGAAGGAAAAAATGAAAACAAAGCTCTTGTAAATAAAGAGGGAAAGGGGGACTAGAGGAGAAGAATGGGGAAAAAAAAGAAGCAAGATTCAGAGTCAGAGATTAGCTCAGCGGCACAAGTGCCTGCCAGGTCCTGAGTTCAATTCCCAGTATATATTTAAAAAAAAAAAAAAAAGGCAGCAAGAAAGACCATGTCCAGGTGCAAACCCCCTATGATGAATGTCATCACTATGTATGTCTAAAATGTACCAATTAAAAAAAATACCCAAGGCCACTGGTGTTGGCTTGACTACAGTACAGAGCACCAGCCACAGCCAATGCAGCACTCAGAGGGAAATGCATAGCCACACCTGCACCTACAGTCAGGAAAAAAAAAAAAAAAAGACTAAACCCACAGAAATCAGGAGGCTGTAACAGCAGAGGAAAGGAATGAAATCCAAAACAGACCCTGAGGACAAGGAGGCTCCACACTGGAGCAGGGGCAGGGGAGGGACACATGAGGAATGCATCCTGTAATAGTGCCCAAGCAGACAGACAGGCGGCTGGAGCAGAGCCAGCAAGGAGCCAGAGAGCCCATGAGTGGAGCAAGAAGTGCAGGTCGCCCTTGGACACCAAGCTAAGGCGAACCTCAGAAGGCAAAGAGGCAGCAGACAACCAGGTGGCAGAGCCATGGGCCTGCACAGTCCTGCAGCCACAGAAAAGGAGAACAAAGTGACCAGGGAGAGCCTGCTGCATGCAGGGGCTGCCCTGTGCCTTTGATTCTGTATTTTTGGGTGAGGCCAAGGCATCCAAAGCCGCACCTCAGGGGTGCAGAGGGCAGCTAGGCAGGTCAATGTGCCCGGCAGAGTCTAAATGACCTGGCCTGTCCTGGCTGACACTCCACGCTGGACAGCAGGGAGGATCCTACTGGCCGAGGTGTTCCCTGTCCTGTGCAGCTCCCCTTCGCTCCCTGCTCCAGTCTAAAGAAAGGAGGGGGCCCCTGCTCAAGTGCGAAAGAAAGTGGACACACACCTGAGGCTGGTGACCAAGGGCACCCTTGGCACCTAGGAGCCCTTCTTCTCACCCTCAGAGGGATGCACCTTCCATTTTTGCCCCTAGGCAACGCCCCAAACTTTGAGGTAAACAGGTCATGAACACCTGCCCCTCTCAGCAGTATTCCTCCAATCCTCAGCGCCTGGAACCTGCCTGAGGCCAGGAAAGCAGCAAGAGGAATCCCCATAGCTAGTGAAACCAAGGGGAGGGCGCTTGCCCGTCCCCTGCCCCGCACCCACCTGGGCTGGAGCGCAGCCACACGCAGTCCTGCACCTTCACCTTCCACGTGAGCTCACGCAGCGACAGCTTCCCATGCTTGCCCAGAGAGAGGAATCTCTTCATGCACCTCAGGAAGCGGCGCTCGTTGTGCCTGGAGCCCCAGAGGCCGGTGGGCACCAGGCGTCGCAGGCAGGCGCGCAGAAAGGTGTACACCTGCCAGGGACTGCAGTGCTGGGGAAGCAGCTGAGCCAGGCGTTCCGCGCTCGCGTCCCCGTCGGGGCCGGCTGCAACCCGCAGCGGGCAGTGAGCGCGGAGCAGCGCGCCATAGGGGCACCGCGCGTGATTGGCGAGCAGCTCGCGGAAGAGGGGTCGCATACGCCAGTAACGCAGGGACAGGCGGCGCCTGCGGGAGCGCGGGGTCCGCCCGGGCCTGGCGGGAGGCGCGCCCAGGAACACGGCCTCCACGAGCCTTCGTGCCCCCGTCATGCTGGGTGGCAGTGCGCTGAGTATGAAGGAGGGGGGCAGCCGCTCCGCGCCGCCGCCCACCCGCGAGTAGAGAAAACGCTTGATCTCGACGGCCACGCGTGGCCTAGGCGTGCTCCCGCTGCTCCTCGACCAGGTCGACTCGCCCTCGACTGCCGCGGCTCCCAGGGCCACGGAGCGCGGCCTGCTGCTTCCCGATGTGAGCCTGAGTTTCTTGGGTTGCGGCGGACTAGAGCTTGCACTGCGGCTGCGGGGCCGACGCCGGGACCCGAGGCCCGAGTCCGGGCGGAGCGCGCCGTGAGGGGACGACGTGGGGGCGTCAAGCTCGTGCAGCGGTGGCCCGCAAACCTGGTAGGCGCAGCTGGGCGCCACCAGCTGGTAGAGCGCGCAGCGCGACAGCAAATGGACCAACACGTCGTCCCCCAGGCGGCGCAGCAGCAGCCCCCAGGAGCCGCTGCCGCGCAGCGAGTCAGTCACCGTGTTGGGCCGGTAGCGGCACACGCTCGTGGTGAAGGCCAGGGGCGGCCCGCCGCGCGCCTCGTTCAGCAACCCAAAGCCGAAGGCCAGCACGTTCTGCGCGCCGCGCTCGCACAGCCGCTGCACCACGCGGGCCACCAGCTCCTTCAGGCTGGACACCTGGGCGGGGAGAGGATCCCACATCAGCCGGACGGCGGAGCACTCAGGCCCGGCCCGCCTGGCACCCCACGGCGGCGGCCCACCTGGAGCAACGAGGGCGTCTCAGGGGCCGGCCGCGCGCCCCAGGGCACGCACACCAGGCACTGCGCCACCAGCGCGCGGAAGGCCGCCGGGTCCCCGCGCCGCACGAGCCGCGCGCCCTCGGGCCCCAGGCGCCGCGCGAAGGCGGCGAGCGGTAGCACCTCGCGGTAGCGGCGGCGCAGCAGAGCGCGCACAGCCCTGCACCGAGGCGCGCGAGGCATCGCGGAGGCCCGGCACCCACGTGCGCGGCGGGGAATGGGCGGTGAGGCCGTCAGGGCGGGGCACGCGCGGAGGAAGAGGCGGGTTCGCCGCTCGCCCCGCCCCTGCCTGTAGGGTCTCTGGTTGAAGCGCTGGCGGCCTGGGACCCCTTGGCGTCCCGCCTTCCGGGGCCTGGAGGGGACGAGACCGCGTAGCGCCAGGGTGGCAGAGAGAGGGCAGCAGTGACATGGGGTGCGTGGGAAACCGAGTGCGTGCTACTGCGTGCTACATTCTTTCGTCCTTGGGGTGTGAGACCTAGGCACCAAGACTGCCCAGGGATCCGGACGAAGCCGTTTGTAAGGGGCGGGGCAGTGCGCCCCGAATCTGCTCGTGAGGGCGTAGACCCCGCTCCGTCTCCGGCTAGGGCTTGGAACTCCGAGGCTTTTCTGGTCCCACGCTGGACTTCCTCTTCAGGCTCCTGGGACCATAAGCGCAGCAGCCGCATCGCCCCCCGTTAGCACTTAGCGCCAAAGCGAGGGCCTCCCAGCCGGATCTGCGGTTCCATCTACAGCCGGAGGAGGCGACAGCGGCACCCCGGGGGACCTCACCTTGCAGGGGGCCGGAAGTCCGGATGCTTCCGCGCAGGGACCGCCACCCCCTACCCCTAGGCGGGCAGCTAAGAGGGTTCAGCCCGGGGGACTTGGTGACCAGGCTGCCCACAGCCAGCCAGGCCCCTCAGGTCAACTCCTGGGAGAGGGGGAAACCTGTGGGTCTCCGGAGAGAGTGCGAACTAATACAAACCTTTCAGGCCTGAAGCTTTGTTCGGAAATTGTGGCCCTAAGGTTTAGCATTTGAACAAGCCGCGCCCTCCCCGGCGGCAGCTGCTCGGGTCCCACCTCCCTCCTGCTCTGGCCCGCCTGGTAAACTGGATTACCGGTCGCTATTTTGGAAAGTGAGGCGTTGCCTCTTTTAAGGCTGTGCTTGATTTAGCCGCTAAGGGATTTGGAACTGTTTTGGAAAAGTCTTTCCAACAACCGGAACTAACTCAGACTGCTGAGGGAAACATGCGTATAAAATATAATTTCAAAAATGAGGGCCAGGGATTTAGCTCAGAGGCACAGTACCCGCCTGGCAAGGGCAAGGTCCTGAGTTCAATTCTTGGAACCGGAAAAAAAAAAATATATAGGGTGTAGCTCAGCACTAGAGTGCTTGCCTCACATGCTTAGGTTCCTGAGTTCAATCCACAGCATCACAAAGGGAAGAAAAAGAAGAAACTGAGGCAGCAGTTCTACTGGCCGATTGTGCACAAAGTTCTTGTGTGATCCTGGCCCTCAGTGAAAACCACTAATACGAACCAGAATTCCCTGCCCAGCATCACCTGGTGGGCTTTTCTGAAAGATAATAATAAACCATCACACTGCATAACATGACAAATGTTCAGAGAAAAACTATGGGGGGCAGGGGAGAGTCCTGATTGTGTCAGGAATGCAGCCAGAAAAATAAAAACCAGAGACAAGAACCGTATTTCAACAATGGCTAGGAAGTCAGGATCTCTGAGTCTTACAATCACCTCCACTCCCAAAGCAGCCACTATTTATTTTGTGTATCTAATGCTAGGTGGGACTGGCAAAGGATTACAGTTCATCTAAAGACTCCCACTCAGGGCATAGATCATCTTACTTTGAAGTATCTTGACCCAGAGTATAATCCTGTGATGATTTAAGGTGTAGGTGATCTTATGCTTAGAAGTATCTTGTCCTTGAGTGTAATCCTGAGATGATTTAAGAAGGCACAGGTGATCTTATGCTTCGAAGAGTCAATGGGAAATCTCAGATGGGTGGTACAATCCCCATCATTCCTTTCATCCCACAGAAATGTGCAAAACCAGTCACTGTGAATCCATGGTGCCCCTTAAAAACGTGCTATTGGCTGCAAATAAAACAGTACAAGCCAGGTGTGGTGGTGCACACCTGTAATGCCAGCACTCTTAGGGGGCTGAGGTAGGAGGATTGCAAGTTTAAGCCCAATTTGAGCAATGCTGAACCTTAGAACCTGTCTGAAACTAAAAAAATAAAGGAGCTGGAGGTGTACCTCACTGCAAAGGTCCTGGACTGAGCCCCCAGTATTGCAAAGTGAACAACAGCATGATGCTACCTAGGCCTCCAGCCCAGGGATGACTGGCTCCCCACCTCCTGCCCAGTGCACTGCAGCAGGGGCCGTGAATACCAGAATGCAGCTCCTCACAACTCACTGAGCCCTGGGGCAGAGCTCCAAGGGGCAAGAAGGACCCACATGGCTTCAGGTGTGCACAGTGATGTCATCTCAGGATTATACTCAAGGACGAGGTACTTCTAAGCATAAAGTTATCTACACCTTCTTCAATCGTCACCCCACCCCTATCCTGCTCCTAACAGGTTACAAGTTTGCCTTCCAGACTCACCATAAGCTGTGTAACAGCAAAGGGGCTCAACTGTGCTGCCTGCTGAGAAGGACCTGGATCCCAGTCATGCCCTGCGGTGAGGCAGCCCGTGTCTGTTCTGCTGCTCAGGTAGGACCTCAGTGCTAACCTTTGAGTGTTTCTTCAAACTAGTGTTCTGAAATAATTACAAGGTCAGTGTTGGTTTCTGGAGCTGCAGTAGCGGATTATGAAAGTGAAGGTCCTGGAGATGCCCCTGGTGCTGTCCAGCTCTGCAGGCCATGCTAGGCTAAGGTCTCAGCCCTCCAAAGTGTGCTGTATTCAGAGGCCATGCTCTGGGAGGCTGACTGGATCACAGGATGCTGTACTCAGCTGTGGCGGCTGAAGGTGCTGGTGGAGGTGGGGCTGACTGGAGGTACATACCTGTCCCTAGCTCCTCCCTTCTGTCTGCTTCTTCCTGCCGCAAAATGAGCAACTTTGCTCACCAGGTCTTTCTTCTGCATTTCAGCTGACCATGGACAAAATCTTCCCAAACCATAAGCCGAATTAACCCTCTTCGGTAAGTTGCACGTGTCAGGTATTTTGTATCATAAGTGACTGAGTGACTTGTACTCAATCTAGAGCAGCGCAGAACATTAAAGAGAGGAGGCAAGTACATAAGAAAGTTTAATGGGGGGCACGGAGGGAGTCACCACAGAGAAGGCTCTGGCGCTCCCTGCAGACAAAGGGCAGGTTCTGCCTGATACAGGCTCTGATGGGAGGGGGCTCTGGGGGCGGGTGTGAGCTGATTTTAGCGGGAGTGCGGGGCGTTGGGTAAACCTTTACATGCCTGAGCTTTGGCAGAGACTGTGGGAAGGGAAAGCTAGGGGGCTTCTGGGAGGAAGGAGGTATGCATTATGGTGGCACAGCTTTGAGCCACTGCCATGCTTGTGCTGTCTCAGATGGAAGGACCCAACATTTCCACTCTTTGGTGTTTGTTAGGGGGCGCTGTGGAGTCTCTTCGGCTGTTTTCTGCTGATCCCATTCTCTTCTACCCTAGGCGCCAACAAGGCCTCTCAGCAGGAAGCTCAGTCACATTCGTGTTTGCTTTCCCCTGCACCTTTATGAAAACCAATAAAAAGTGCTTAGGGTGAAAAAATCCCTCTGAATATGGTTATTTAATCCTTGCACCTTGGCAAACATCACTTGGTTCCCGTTTTACATCTTTGGGTTTTTGCAGTTTAAGGTTATTTGATGAAATTCAAGCAAACAAAGCAGTACAATATCATCATCCACTTGGACTGGAAAGGTTGAATTTGCTCCTGGGATTAAAGCCCCTCAACGTCCTTTTGTGAACATCTCTTGGAGGCCTGAGTCTGGGGAGCCCTTCAGGAGGGTGCTCTATACCTTGAGGTGCAGGTCTGGATCAGAAACAGGAAGAGGGGAAGGACTGGGCATCTTTGCCCCTCTGCTGAGAGCACCTTGCTTAGCCATGTGGCTCCCAACTCTCAGCTGCACACCACATTTTCCCAGGAGCGTCTGGGAACATCTGTGAGGCCCATCAGTGAGAGTCCCATCACATCGAGCTTCCTGCACGCAGCCCCAGCCTCACCAGGTCTCCTGACCCACGACTCGGAACCCAGTCAAATCCTTCAAGCCAGCCTGGTGCCTCCAGATACTCAACACCCATCCTGGGGGAAAGGACCAACATATCAGGGTTCCAGATTCGTCCAGATGCAGTATACCCAAATGTGAACATAGAATAAAAAATCCCTAGATGCATGTGAGAAAAAGTACAAAGAATGAGTGCAGAAGAGACAAAAACCAGCCAGCCAGGAGGCTGAGATGGGAGCAGTACACGGTCACCGGAAAGAACAGGAAGCTAGGTCGGGCAGCATGGCCAGGCTGGCCTGGGTTCTCTTGGTTCCAGGTCAGGAGGCTTAGCAGCTGGTGTGACACTAGGTGGCCCCTCACAGGCACTGCTGCACACAGCTAAGCCTTCTTGCCCTGAGAACACCCTCAAGGAGACCACAGGTGAGGGCCAGCTGTGGGGTGAGGACCCTTCGCCAGGGCACACGGAAGCCCCAGAGAAGGTGTGCCACTGCATGGTATTTCCTCTCCCGCTCTTGCCTGGCTCAGTGAATCCCACAAGGACTGGATTCCCTGGCCACAGAACTAGTTCCGAGACCAGATCTATGCTGGGAGGCAGGGCAGGGGGGAAACCTAGAGCCAATCACATTCCAGCTCACAGCATTTCGCTAAAACTATAGACAACTTGCAACCCTGCTGCTCTGCTGCTGGCTGACCTGCACTTTCAGGACAGTGGTGGTAAAGGCGCCAAGCACAGCCTTTGCCGCACCTCTGCAAACAGCTCCTCAGCCGGGGTGCGATCACCCCACAGGACAGCCCCGCTGGGCTCTGGGTCTGCCTTCTGCCTCGCTTCCCCTGGGCATCTCTCCTATGGAAAGCAGTGCTGTGCGTAGCCTTGACCCTTCCTTCTGGCACAGTCGGGGGACAGGAGGGGCGGGGTTTGTGGCCTGAGTAATGTGGCAGAGCCCATGGACTAATTGGAGTGGCGACCCCATAGCACATGTGCACAACGGGCTGTGTAGACTACTAAGCTCTCTAAAAGGTTCGCCAGCTTGGGGCTGATCCCTGGGAAAGCTATCTGAAGTTTTTCCTACATCATACCAGGTTGCAAAACATCACGGCCAAAGAAATTTATTTTAAAATAGAAACATACATACATTAAGCTTTAAAACAATTAACTTTTAAACAGAAAAGGAAAAAGCCATTTGATCCCAAAGTCTCTATGGAACAACTTTCCATGTGCACTGAACTTCACATAAGGGACACTTAACTCGAAATGGAAATCCCACATCCTCCGCCTCCGAGGGCACCAGGGTCGGGAGTGGGGCAAGGGGGTGGAGGGGCCCTAAGAGGCAGCACCCTCAGGGCTCCCACCTGAGTGCTGTTGTACCCCTGTGCAGGAAACAGGCTCAGGGATTGGGCATCCGGGGCACTTCCGTCACCTCCCAAAGGCAGAGGAGCTCCGAGAAACAGAGATGTCTGGAGGGTTTGGCAACTCGGAAGAGGTGGCATCAGGAATTCCCAGAGCTTCCAAGAATACTCATGGCGAGCAGGCCCTGCCTGCGGTGCTCACTCCGTGTGGGACTTCGGGGTGGGCTGCTCCTCGTAGGACTCCCCGAACTCATTCACTCTGCTCTTATCCACAGGATAAAGCCTGTAAACACACAGACGGCGCTCACAGGAGCTTGGGTGCCACAGGGAGCGTAAGGGCCAGCCACTGGGGCGCTGCAGAGAAGTGCAGAGGCTCGAAGGCCCCGTCTCTGAATGGGGGTGTGCACCCCTGCTCTGTGGGCCTGATGGGGCTGGTGCTTAGGACGGGAGCCCGGTGGGGCAGAGGTCCACCCTGAGGCTGCCTCTTGGGGCAGCGTCCTTTCACTCGCTGGCCCAAGGCAGCACTGCTCCATACTCGGCCACAGGTCACTTTAACCCTGACCGCCCTGGGCTACCACAGGAGAGGCAGGTGGGGTCAGTCCTGAGGAGAGGGGGGAAAGATGTGGCATCCAGCTCTGCATAACCCCTTCTACCTCCCCATGCCTGGCCGTGACCTTGGCCCTGCCGGAGGGGTTGTGAGGAAGGTGGCCGTGGCCTGCAAGTGTGCAAATAAGTGGTGCTGCCTGGGGGGGGGTGACCTCCAAGATGGCAGGAAGGGGGCAGGTAGGAAGAAGGACACAGGTGAAGTCTGGACACTCAGTGGCTACCAACCATGGGGATGTAACATCCATCCCAGAAAGAAGCCCCTTCTTCACCCCAGGACCAGGGGTCACGGCAGGGTGAGGGCAGCTCTCATGATAATTCCCTGCAGTGCCCCACCCTGTGGGCCAGAGCAGGACCGCAGGGGCACCAAAGACATCCAGACACCAGCTCTGGAGGGGAAGGGCAGCTGGGCCAGGTGTACGATGCATCTGCAGATCACACCCCTACCTGCAGGACACTGTGCTCAGTGAACCCTGCCAGATCCACTGCACCCTTGAGGTTTGGGGTGGACCTGGGTGAGGATCACCAGCAGAGACCCAAGGGAGCCACAGGCCTAAAGCAGGTGATGAGGTGGGTCAATCCCATGGCGCATCCCACACTGGTACAGGAACCCACTGTGGGCAGCCACCACCTGCACCTACTCACCCCACATGGCCGGCAGGCAGGGCTCTACCACTCACCATCGCTGGTACAGGTAGACCAGGAAGACCACGTCATCCCGGAAGCAGGCCAGCCGGTGGGATGTGGGCATGGTGATGATGAAGGCAAAGACATCATCGATGAAGGTGTTGAAGGCCTGCAAAGCCGGGGGAGGTCATGAGGCCGAGCCGGCTGCGGTCTTGCTGCTGCTCTGCCCAGGCAGTGCACTGCACCAGGCAGACATGTGTGCAGTACCTTCGCCGTGACACCGACGAGGCAAGGTGGGGCCTGGGGTCACACATCTGTCACCCCAGCACTCTGAGAGGCTGGGGCAGGAGGATCTCGAGTTTGAGCCCAGTCTGAGCACTGAGTGACTCAGTGAGGCCCTGTCTCAAAAAATAAACACAAAAATAGGGCTAGGGATTCACCCAGTGTGAAGGCCCCGAGGCCACCCCCCATCACCAAGGGGGAAACAAAAGCAAAGCAGGGAGTGAGAGGCAGAGCGCGTAGCGGGGTGCAGGTGTGGCTCCTCACACCAAGGGCTGCAGCAGGACCCAGGCCCTTCCCCTCACGCTCGGAAACGGAGAACCACACTGGGCTGACTCGGCTCCACTGGGGCTCTGTGCACTAAGGCCACACTGCCATGCTGCCGGTGCTGCATGGGCACTGGGCACAGTGGGGGCCCGGGGTCCACTGTCCCACACCAAGGGTGGCCGTGCTTTGACGAGGTGAGGAGAAGACCCCAGCCTTTCACCCTCTCCAGCAGTGGCCACGGTGATTCTGAGCCCTTCACATTTTCTTAAAAGACCTCCTCAGAGGGGCTGGGGATTTAGCTCAGTGGCATAAGCGCCTGCCTTGCAAGCAGGCAGTTGTGAGTTCGATCCCCGGTACCAATAAAAAGGAAAAAGACCAAAAAAAAAAAAAAAAAAAAAAAAGACCTCCTCAGAAAAAGAATAGGGCTGGGCGAGCATGGGGCGAACACTAGCAAACCCAGCTACTGAAGAGGCTGAGGCGGGTGCACCCCAAGTTCAAGGCCAGTGTGGACCCCTTAGTGAGACCCTGTCACAGAGAGGGCTGGGGAGCCGGGCAGCACTGACCTTGTAGGTGAAGGCCTTCCAGGGCAGGTGTGCCACCGACTTCATCTGCACGGGGAAAGGGCTCAGGTCAGTCTGGCGCCTAGGGACACGTGCCTGCCCAGCCTGGAAGTACATGGCCCTTACCTTATAGTTCACGAAGAGCTGGGGCAGCATAAAGAGGAAGCCGAAGGCGTAGACTCCTGTGGGGCAGACAGTGCTGTGAGAAGGGAGGGCGTGTGCCCTGCCACATGGCACACATAGGATGGTGACACCCAAGGCAGTGGCTTAGGGGAGTGATGCTGCTGACCCCTGAGGGGCATCAGGGTCTGTGAGGACTCTGCCTGGGACTCACTATGGCGTGGGCTGTGCAGGCCACCGTGCTCCACTGTGGGAGACTGGCCTAGTGCATGTAGGCATCTCCCAGGGCTGCGCACGGTCCACTGGCTGGGCTTCCTGGAGTCACAAAGGTGACGCCATACATAGCTGAGGTCATATAGCTCCAGGAGTTAGTTTCCTGGATGCATCGGGATGTTTGGGTCTCCTGCTGCCAGGAAGAGGGGACTGGGTGCCAAGCAGGGCAGAGTGCACATGGGGAGCAGTGTCGCCCAGCCACTTGGGCCCAGGACTCACCGTTCACGAAGCTGTTGATGAGCCATGAATACCAGCTGGAAGGGAAGGAGGAGTTGGGACCTGGGCACTAGGCCCCACCAGGTATATCCCTCATCTCTGGGATACTCAGTCTCTAGGGCACCCCATCCCTGTGCCCACTTAGGTGCCCCTTCCCAGGAACCCAGCCAGACCAGGATGGCTCCAAAGCCCAGTCATGCAAACATAGGCTCCTCCAAGACTGAAGGCGGGCATGGCACACTGCCCATACACGTGCTCCATGGTGCACCCCACTGTGCCTGCCCACATTCTGGGACCCCTCTGCCCCACCTCCACCTTGCCTGAGCTGGGCCCATCTCTCCCAGCCCACCATGTGTGACAGTGCTTCGCAGCGGCTTCCTCTTCTTCCCTGTTCTGCGACCTCTGCTCTTGAAGCCAGCTCAGCCCAAGACTGTGCCTCGAGAGCCCAGGAGCCTGAGGCCACGGTGAGCTCCATGACCTCCACCCACAGAGGCCAGCAGGACCACGGCCATTGCCCGCCAAGCCAGCGCCCCCAGCACCTGCAGCCTGGAAGGCGTGAGTGCAGGGCTGGCTCCCACCCACCTCTTGTACTTGATGTTGAGGAGCGAGTACACAGCACCCCCGACACACAGCGGGTACAGGAGGTAGGACAGGTACTTCATGGCCTGCGGGACAGAGGGAGCTGCTTACACCGCGCATGCAGATATGGTGAAGGTGCACTGGTGATGGCAGGAACCAGGCAGGTACCATAATGTGTGGGGCAGCGACAGCCCAAGTGACCCGGCAGAGGGTCACGGCCATGGCCACACACAAGGGACTCAGTGTGTGACAGTCAGTGCCACCAGCACACTTGCCCCCACCTGAGCTCCCTTCCCATCTCAGTCAACACTGCTCCTGTGCAGAAACACGGCTCCCTCTACACCTGCTGCTCTGCAGTGCGGTACAGCGGAGGGTGGGAGTGAAGCCAGGCCCCAGCCCAGCAGCCCAGCAGGCCACTTGGGACCCCCAAGTGCTGCGCCTGCAAGGCCAGGAGCTGGGAGGCTCTGCATGCTTCCTCCTGGGGTCCAAGCCACTCTTCGGGGGACAACTCCCACAAAGGTGGTGTCGCTGGCTCACCTGCGTGTCATACTCCTCAGTCTTCCTCTCAGATTCACTGTAGGTGCCAAACTGTGGTGAGATCAGACACAGTGTTGGCCTTGGTGCCCCAGGCAAGGCCAGGCATCATGACACCACCTGACTGAGCCCCCCAGGCCTGTGGCCAGCAGTGCAGTGCAGCAGGCCTCACTGTAGGCTGAGGACCACGTGGGGTCACCTCTGCCTCACTCCATGGGGTCCATTGCTGTGCACCCACCCACTGCAGCCACACTACTTCATGCAGAGGCAGTCCTGATCAGCTGGGCATGGGGGCACATGCCTATAATCCCAGAACGTGGGAGGCTGAGGTAGGAGGACCACCAGCCTAAACTACATAGTGAGATCTTGTCTCAAAAAATAAAGCAAACAAACCAAAAGAACTAACAAAAGGCAGCACTCTTGATGGGCTCTGATCTGCCAAGGTGCAGGACCTCTGGGCCAATGCTACAAAACAAGACACAAGGCCAGCACTCCAGCCTGGGGCAATGCTGTGTGCTTTGGACTCAGGCCTGCTCTGCGGAGGGCACATCACTGACTGGCCTGGGCTGGGTGTCCGAGCCTGTGGGCCGGACCTTGCTCTGGAGAGCACAGCACGGCAGATAGAGGAGTGCTCCAGTGAGGAGCCCAGCTGGCGGGGAGTCTTGGCTGAGACCACAGCACCACACATGCACCCCTGGGTGCCAGGCAGCAAATAGGGTGAAACAACTCCCGTCACCAAGGTCAGGCACTGCTGGGACACTGCGGAGACTCGAGATCCCTGGTGAATACTAAGAGCCTGGCAAAAGAAGGAGGGGAAGGCGGGACCGGGACTCACTTGCAGCACAGGCCTCAGGCCTCTCCAGGCCACAGTCATCTTCAAGGCCTTCTTCACTTTCCATAGCTGTGGGGAGTCAGGACACTGCCTTCAACATTCCCAGATGCCAGCACCCACTGCCCCAGCCTGCCCAGTCCTGAGCCTTTCCCCCGGCCTCTGATTTTTTTTTTTCATCAGTACCAGGGATCAAACTCACTACTGCCTGCTTTGCAAGGCAGGCGCTTATGCCACTGAGCTAAATCCCCAGCCCCCATCTCTGATCTTGCCAGGGCTCATACAGCTCACAGGGCCAGGCACCTGGGACAGCTGCCCTAGCACCACACTTGCCAGTCCCTGGATGGCACCTGTGATCGAGCCCTTTAGGCTCACAGCTGCTGACCAAGGCAGCTCAGGACTCACCTCAATGGCGGCCCCGATGCCGGCCGGAACCAGTACCAGCAGGCTCGTCTGCTCGTCCAGCAGGAACAGGAAGATGACCACAGTGCTGAAGCAGCGCCAGAGAACTGGGGACACAGGCGTGGGAGGGCGGGGTCACCACACCTGCACACACCCTGCCCTCCCACCATGAAGCCTCCTATGCCTAGCCTGCAGTCCTGCACAGAGGAGCTGTGCGGACAGAGTGGGCTCAGCACATGACAGCTGGTTCACCCCAGCACCTCCAAAACCAAGAGTAACAGCGAGTAACTACATGGCTCTGGAAAGCACTCCGGATCAGGAAGCGCCACACAGCTGCCAGCAGCAGGCGGCCCAGAGGCCTGTGAGTGCTCACGGCTGGTTCCCCGCCCTCTCCCCTCCTGACTCTGCTGAGCAGCTGCGTTTCCTCGCTAAGCTGCACCTTTTCCCTCTCCAGTCGCACTCTGAAACCTCCCTATGTGTTCTGTCCTCTGCAAGGCTTGGAGCATGGAGGTGCTAGGCCACAGATGCTGGCCAGCTTCCTAGGAGACCTGTGTGGGTCCAAGCCCTGCAGCCAAATTCAACATAGTTTTGCTTTTGTGAGATGAGGTCAATTAGTTCAGGCTGACTTCAAACTCTCAGCAATCCCCCGCCTCCTCCTTCTGAGTGCCGGGTTATAGGCGTGTGCCACCATGCTGCCTGCTGCTTTAACCATCAAAAAGAATTCCATTTTCTTGAAAAGAGACGTCCATTTTACACCAAATAATTATATCCCAGTGACTCTGAGCTCCTAACATAATAAATCATTTCAATTTTGTTATTTTATGAGTTATTTCCTTACATAATAATGCTATAATCTATAGTGTCTTTAGTAATTATCCTTTCCATGATGCTTTATGAAAAGTTAAAAATTTCAAAGCCAAATAAGAGAATAATGAAAGTTAATATACTGTGTTATCATTGTCTTTAAGTAGCTACTCAGAGTATGAGACAAAAAGGCTTCTTACAGAAGAGAAACAAACACCAAAGCCTGCAAAGCTTGCTTTCCAATGAACTATGAGAAACTAGTAACGAAACAAATTAGTAACTAGTAAATGAAATTAGAAACAAATTAGCATACATGCTGAAGTATTCTTAACTTTCTATCAGTACCAGGGATCAAACTCACGACTGCCTGCTTGCAAGGCAGGTGCTTATGCTGCTGAGCTAAATCCCCAGCCCCATGTTGAAGTATTCTTGAAACGAGATACCAGATAATCCCTAGAATCATCTGGCCTCCTCCTTACCTGCCTTCTATTTTGCTCTACATAGGGTACGCTCCCTGGTGCTGAGTTCCTTATGTAACAGACGCCGTGTGACAGCCAGTCAGTGTGTCTGCCTGTCTCACGTAACTTCACGTTCTCAGGCCACCCCCTTCTCACCATTCCTCATGGCACAGCAGTACTCCATCACACAGAAATACCGCATTTCCCTTGCCTATTCTCTGCTGGTGGACATTCAGCAGTCTCCAGGACCTCACCCCAACTTCTACCTGACATAGGAAGGACTGGACATGCCCTGCCTGTCCCTTTGCATGCCTGTGTCCACCCTGCCTCTGCTGGCCCAGCCACCGCCCCTGCTGCTCAGCAAGCAGGAGCAATCAGGCTGAGAGATCGCCCCCAGCCTCCACACACACTGAAGGGTCCCAGATGGAGCCCTGCCCTGTGGCCTGCACACCAGGACTGTCTCTCACCACACCCCTGGGCTTCTGAGGCACACCTGTGATCAGTGGGACAGTATGTGGCCTCAGATGCCAGGCAAAACCCACCTCCCCAGGGAGCACAGTCAGGTCACAGGGTCCCCAGAAGCCATCAGAGGACGTCGGAGTGTGGGCCGAACCACTCCAGGCCTACCTGCTTTGGTGGACATTCCAATCATGCTCTTTTTTTTCTTCCAGAAACTGATGTCATTCTTAAATGCCAGAAAATCAAACAGCAGCTGCAAAACACAGGCCAGCAGTCTGTATCCTGAATAGCTCCGTCATGTGTAGCCACCAGGCAAGCCTGTAAGCAGGCTGGACCCAACAAGGCTGGCAGGACACGCCACATCCTGTAGGACACAGCCTGCATCTGCTCCCTAAGCCAGGGCCCTGGAAGGCAGGGGCCTCAGTGGGTATTGCCCATGCTCGTGTGTCAGGTGCCTTCTTCCACCCCACAACCCCAGGTACCCGCTCAGCACTAGCTCATCCCTGGGGGCTCCACTCCTAAACACACACTGATGTTTATTCCCGACTCAGGGCAACTCGGGCTCCAGTGATCCTATTCTAACCCCCAACCGCATGTGCCAGCTTCCCAGAACCTGGGCACCTGCAGGGCCTGGCTGCACACACAGGGAAGCCTTCCTAGCTGAGAGCAGCTGGCTTTACACCCTGCAAGGCCACTTGGCTCTGGCTGCCTCAAGTACTTTGCTCTTTTGAAAAATGGCCTCCAGTGCCAGGGGAGGGTCACCTTCTCTGACCGGGAGAGCCCTTGGGACCACAGCTGTAGGGCCTGTGCCTCAAGCGCCCACTCACGTGGAAAGCCGCAACAAAAAAAGTCAGCGCCAAGAAGTACAAGTTGGTATCCACAAAAATGCCCTTCACTTCATCCGCGTCCTTCTCTGAAAACCCTGCCAAGGAGGAACACACGCACAGATGCAAAGAACCCAACTGCGCTGACAGTGAGACTGTACCTGACCTGACCTCGGTATGCAAAGCACCATGTTCCAAAGAAGGCAAACTTCCAAACACCCACAAGGGACTTTCGCAGAGGCAGATGGAGGTGGGATGCTGAGACCTCCTCCCGGGGAATGTGGACAAGCCCTACCCAGGCGGAGGCACACGGGCTGGGGTCCGTGACAGAGGGCACTGGGGAACCCACCGAACTGCTGCAGGGAATACACAGCGTCCTGCATGTGAATCCAGAAGCGCAGCCGCCCCAGCGAGATCTTGTCATAGGACACGGTGAGCGGCAGCTCGGTGGTGGAGCGGTTGATGACCTGTTGGGACAGCAGCGTGGTGAGGACCAGGCCTGGGGGCTGAATGCTCAGGTGGGGATCTGGAGTGGCTGTGGTCACGCACGGCTTTCTGACAGCCTGTGAGGTCCAGGGGGTCCCAGCCCACCCCATCCTGCACGGCCCTGCCTCCTATATCCATGGTGTCTCAAGGGGTGGCAATTGCCCCAGGGCACAGACATGCACACTGGCACCACGCTCCACACAGAGCACAGTACCACGGGATGCTGGTGTGGGCACCACCATGTGGAGGCTTTACTGCAGGGGGGTAGCAGGCACTGGGGACCCTCAGGCCACCCATTCCAGGGATGCCACTTTGCAAGGTGGTACTTCCCTGCCTGCTGGCTGCACTACCCTGGGGATGTGGCTGTCCTGTGTTGGCACTGCTCTAGGAAGTCACATGGCTCAGGCAAAGCCTGCTATGACAGAACTTCTCCTGAGTCAGGACAAGGCTGTCCCAGACCTGAGGGTCGTGGCCATGCCAATGCCAGCCTCCCTCAGCATGCAGGGATCTGCAGGTGCTGCCTCGAGCCTCCTCCCAGGACACCTGCTGCAGACAGCACTGGGCCTGTTTCCTGCAGGCCTTGCACACGGAGCTCCCAGAAGCCTGCACTGCACCACACCATCTGCTGCTGCAGAGCCCACATGCCCTTGGCCCAGGGTTGTGTGGTGCTGCCTCCCTGTTCCAGCAGAGTCCAAGTGCCCTCGGCATTGCAAATGCACTGCAGCATGGGCCATGAGGAGCAAAGGGAAACTGAGTTGGAGAAAGATGGGGCTGGGAATAGAGCCATCACCCCACCTGGCCTGCAGGTCACACAGGTGCAGCAGGCAGCCAGGACAGTAGCATGGCCAGCCTGGTGCCCTGGGGCCTGAGCAGACATCTACAGAGTCTGTCACCCACACGGGACCTGTGCACCAAGGCAAGCACCTCACTCCAGCATCGGCTCCACCCCATTCCCGACAGCAGGTACCCTCACGTGCCCTCCTCACAGGGACCTCAGCCAGAGCGCAGCCTTGCCCAGAACCCCAGCTGTGAAACAAGGAGTGCTGTTAAACATTAGCCATCAGCACTCCCGTGCCCAGCCAAAGGTCAGCTGGCCTCTTCTGCTGCTCTTGGTGCCTGGAACGCCTGCCTCTCTCCACTTCTCAGCCTCGCCTCACCCCAGGAGCCACAGCCACCTTTGGGCGGGGCCCCCACTGGGGAGGCCACTGTGCCAGGTGCTTCTGAACGGATCCAGAGGAGCTGTTTGGACAGAGCACCTGCGCTTGAGGAAGACGGGGTCAGGACCACAGCCACTTTGCTCCTGGAGGCCACCTCTCTCGTGCCACCAAGGACAATCCCAGCTCACCATCAAGTCCTTCACGCGGTTGCTCAGCTGGTCAATGAACAGGATGGGAAGGTAGTGCACCGTCTTCCCCAGCTGGATCCTGGAGCAGAAGCATAGCACCCTTGTCAGTGTGCACCGCTGCACCTGCGTGCAGAACCTGGGCCCAGGAAGCTACTCCAGTTCCTGTCGCCTGACTGCATCTTGGGCACTGTAATACAGACTTTCCCCACAGCGATGGGGTGACATGCAGTAAGATGGGAACCCCCTACAGGCTCCAGGGCTAGGGGTACCAGGGGCACAGTGACACACAGGGCTGGGCCCATCTGTGCGCTGACACAGAATGACCCATGAGGCAGCTGGGAGCAGAACAACACCCTTTGCTACTCCAAGAAGGATGTGTGCTGCCCTGCTGGAAACCAGGGACAGGTAGGGGTGCCCCACCAAATGGGCTTTCTGTCCCTTTTATGCTTTGAGCTGAGTGGGCAAATTATATGCTCATAAGTAAGAGGTAGTCTGAAGAAGAAAACACCCTGTGACAGCACCACGGGGCCTCACTGGGCCAACTCCTAAGCTGCGTGGTTTCAACATGGGGCTCCCTGAGTGTGGGAAAGGGACAACACGCGTCTGCCCCCCACATCAACAGTGACATTTAACACACGATGGCATGTGACTCGAGGTCGTGATCTAAAGACAGATTCTCCGGGCTGGGGATTTAGCTCAGCAGCATAAGCACCTGCCTTGTAAGCAGGCGGTCCTGAGTTCAATCCCTAGTACTGATTTTAAAAAAGACAGATTCTTCAGCATATTTAGAAGAATCAAGTAAAAACCTCCCTGTGCTTCCTGGCTCAGGCGGCCAGACACGGGGCCAAGTCACTATTGAAGAGGGGCCACACCCACTCACACCTGGCCATTTGCAACCTTGGACATCTCCACTGAGGGCAAAGGTCGAGGGGCACCTGCTGGAGCTCCCCCTCCTCCCAGGCTTGAGGGCCTCGATCAGTAGGGGGTCAGGGGTGGTGAGGAGGTGGGCAAGGGCCTGGAGGCTGTAGGCAACGCCAGGGCACAGGTGTGGTCCACACTGCCTGGGAGTTGCTGGCCCAGGTCTAGAGGCTCCTCGCACAGTGTCATGTCACCCAGCAGGGCCCAGAGACACTCACATTTTCATGTACCGGTGCACATCGGCAGGCAGCGAGGATCCATCGAAGACAAAGTCGTCCACCATCACGTTCAGCGTTAGCCTGGGTCTCCAGTGAGAGATGGGCTCGTCCAGGGCACTCGATGGCTTCTTCTCAGCCTCCATCTGCTGCTGCAAGAGAGAAACCACCCACACTGGGCAGATGCCAAGCTAGGCTCAGTGAGCCTAGCAGGGTGCCGTGAGGCCCCAGGCTGCGGGTTCCCTGGTTCTGGTCGCATGGTTCCTGTTCCATAGTCACGTGGCCAAGAGTCATCCTGACTCTGCTGCAGGACTGTTGGACTAAGCAGGCTCTCTGGGGGTTTGGAGGCAGAGCTCAGGGACCCTAGTGACACAGTGAGAGGGGCAGGGCTGTGAGACTGCATGGAGGCACTGCCAAGCCAGCTACCACCATGGTCTGCGAGAAGCCAGGCGAGGACTGGCATGAACTCTAAATAAACTCAGCTCAGAAACAAAGCACCAGGACAACCCTGCTCATCACAGACAGCCGACTGTTCTCTCTTTTTTTTTTTGTCCTTTTCCTTTTTATCGGTACCGGGGATCGAACTCACAACTGCCTGCTTGCAAGACAGGCGCTTATGCTGCTGAGCTAAATCCCTAGCCCAATAGCCGACTGTTCTCAAAGCAGCACTGTATCACCCTTCCTAAGAATCATTTACCTGTGACACTTTACACTACAGGGTCTTCCAAGAGGCCAGGGCACCTCTGCCACACCCCAGAGGCTACTGCACACACCCATCACGACACACTCGCCCTCCAGGAACCCCCATACAAGGTCCCAGGAGGACCACTGTCTCCAAGGAGACTGGTAGAGATGAGGGCTCCTCCCAAGGATACAAAGCAAGTAAGGGCCAGCTGGGAGAGGGTTTTCAAAGCCTGCCCTTCCCCTGAGATACCCATTTCCTGTGCCAGGAACACATGGAGACCGCTTCCTGGGAGCCGCTGCACCTTTGTGAATCAGCTCGCTTCCGCTTCCACTCCGTTTGATACAGATGAGCTTTCCCTTGTTTTGTTTGTGGCCCCAAGAATCACACTTTCGTGATTTCCAGTTATTCTCTGCACACACAGCTTTCAACCAGTAAACAAAATGGAACTCATGCCTGTAGCCTTCTACAGTCTCGGGTTATGAGCTCAGAATTAATGTCCAGCTGTCCAGTCTCCTGTGCCACAGCAGGGACTACAAGCAGAGGGACATAGGCCCTGTTCTGGAGATGCAGAGGACCTGTGGCCTGAGAGGTAATGTGGGTAAAGAGTGCTAGTAGTCACTTAAACTGGACATCCCCGATTTGATATGGAACTTTTTGGAGGACTACACCACGTAGCTCAGGTCTCACAGTCCTCAGGTGGTGCTGTCTCACCTCAGGAGCAGGAAGGGGCACAGAAGGCCTCGTGCTGCCTGGCTACGGGTGGAAGGCTGATAACCTGGCAATCCTAAAGCAAGACAGCACCTGCTGAGGACAGCTATCAATACACAGGGTACAGCGAACATCTGGCTCCCTGTTAACTTACTCCTCATTTCTCATTCCTTTTTTTTGATACTGAGGATCAAATTCACGACCTCGCGCTTGTCAGGCAGGCACTTACGCCGCTGAGCTAAATCCCCAGCCCCACCTTCTCACTCTTTATAGTTGCTATTTGTGAAACACGGGCCACACCCCTCTCCCTGTGCTTCTTGCTTATAAAAATAAGCCAACACAGAGGTTGTCAAGCCAGTCCACCTGTACCTTCAAGATTGTCTCTGCTTTTCTTTATTCCCTGTTGTTCTGATCAGTCCTTGGTAGCATTCATCTACAGACCTATTGGAAGTTGTGCAGGGAAAAGTGCACATTCAATCGCTCCACTCTCCAGCACTGGAGCCCCCCCACAAGCTGCCGTGGGACACACACATGCACACTCTGAGTGGGAGACGCGAGCTCAGTGCCGGCTGTGGGCACTCCATGAGGTTCCTACCTGTACAGCAGACTCCCCCGTGAGCAGGTTGACTTCCTCTGGCTTGGGGACCATGTAGGTGGTCAGAGGACTGACCAGGTGCACCTGTTTCCCATCATGCCAGGGCAGAATCCCAGCATGATGCAGGAAAATGTAGGCATATAGCGTCCCGTTGTTTCGGGTTTTCTTTGGTACAGAAACATTAACTGTTCTAAAACAGAAGAAAAGGTCATCTCAAAAATGTGTATCTTGGTGTCTGTTTACACAAACATGCACGTTACTCAAATGTCCACAGAGACAATGTTGTCCCACCTTAACTAATTTTAGCTCAGACAGCTAAAAACAAAACCCACCTGCCCATGACTTTACTCAGACATGCCCTGAGCATTTGGAGGAGCACGGGCACCTCCAACAGAAGGTGACAACCAGAACTGCCACCTCCACCTCATGAGGGTCAGACATTTCACTACCTTGCTGGAGAGGATGGGCAAGAGACCAGCTGATTTCCTGAGCCCCAAGCAATACAACTCAAAACTCACGAGGCCAGACCCCAGGCTCTCAAAGTTAGAACAACTGCATGTGTGCGGCAAATGCTTCCTTGCATAACAAAGAATGCTCAGAAATATTCAGTGTGGGTGGGTGGTCTTTGGTTTCTGTCATATTTTTAAAGAAAAGACAGCAGACTGTAACCACGAGAGACAAGAGTTTCCAGCCTCAAACTGGCCATGACTCTCAAACTGAGTGGGGACCACTCGAGCACTGCACATATCCCCAGAAACACCTCCCAATCCTCTGACCACAGAGGATCCTGCTTCCTCTTGCCTCTTCTGCAGCTCCACTGCCAGAGCTCTGAGCAGGCCCTGCTGCAAAGAGAAACACACTGCAGTGCTGGATGTCTTGCCCCACACACAGATGGATCTCCCCACCCATGGAGGTGTTTCCGGTGAGCACATGCTCTGGGGCAGGCTCGGGAACAGTTGCACCAATACACTCCTCTTCCAGGATCAGAAACTGAGGCCCTCACTATCTGACCTGCAAAACCTGCATGGGTCTGACACAGAAGTGGTCACAGCTAGGAAACAGAGCTCACCTGGGGACACATCTGAGCCCTGACAAGTGCTAGCACTGAACAGACATGGGCCAGCCCTCTTCAGCCACACTTCAAGAACCTCAGAATGGGCCTTCACTCGTCCAGGGAAGCTAAATGGCCAGGTGGAACTAGGCTGGCTGACAAGGCGCTGCTCACCCAGTGCAAGGTGGCAGCCAGCCAGGGAGGACTGGCCACTTAGAACACATCTGACATCTCCAGGCAGTGTAGATGGGAGAGGGCGGGATCTTGACTAGCAGATCGCTTTTAACATCACTCTTGATGAACTGTTTTTTTGTTTTGTTTTTTGCAGTTCAGGCTGGACTTGAACCTACTATGGAACCCAAGCTGGTGATCCTCCTGCCTCAAGCCTCCAAGCGCTGGGATTACAGGCATGTGTCACCATGCCCAGTGAACTTTTTAAAATTTTGAGACAGGGTCTTGCTATGTAATTCAGGTTAGCCTTAAACTCACTATGTAGCCCATGGAAGCCTCAAATTCAGGGCAATCCTCCTGCCTCAGCCTCCTGAGTGTCCCATATCTGGCTTCTTGACTGAACTTTTTTAAAAGGTAAAAAATTGCATGAGATGGTAAACTGTACAGTAAGAGTTAACATATGTGGACAATGTCTGATCTTTTCTAATTTTCTACACAATTCTTTTTTCCACCTTTATCTCATTTCTCTTGTTCATAACTCAAGGGAACTACTTCACCAGATAGAATGTGACACCTGCTTCTCTAGTGATTTCCCAGCTGTGTGTCTACAAAACCATCAGGCAAGCGCATGAGCTATTTCCTAAGTGACAAGTCCACCACCTGCTGCTTTCAGTCTGAATGTGATGCACCACATGCTAACATAATGCATCACCTTTCAAATTTGGACTCCACGTCAAAGTCTTCTACGTTCAAGACCAAGTCCACATTGTTCTCGGCACCAAGGCTGGACCTTGTAGTAGTATACACGCTCAACTGGAAAAGATGGTGAAAAAGTTAGCCTCTGAGGCACCTGGCAGACAATACATCCCCCAGTCCAGAGAGCAGATGATCTGATGGACCCCCAGAGGCGGAGTTCCAGACTGGGGAGGGGTCTGGCGTGTCTGCTACAGAGGAGGTACATGCTAGACTGCGAAGCTGGTGAAGATCACAGGCTGGGCATAAACTGCCTGGTGGGAGTCACAGGGAACAGCACCTAGGGGTGCCGACAACACAGGGGGCCAGGAGGAGCCGCGTCAGCACTCCAGGCATTGACACGAGTGATCAGGGGCAGCACCTGGAGCCCATAGCACACAGTCTAGGAGAACCCAAGCATACTTTCATTGGAGCCACCAGGACGCCGGACAGTGGTACCGGTGACAGGTGGCCAGCTCACACCCGCCTGGCCCGGCCTGGTCCGCAGCGCTCACCTGCAGCTTGGGCCGCCGCGCCAGGTACGGCTGGATGCAGTTGGTGTCGCCAGTGCACGGGCGGGTGTAGACGATGCCATACATGACCCAGCAGGTGTGCACCACGTACACGACGAACACGCCCACCACCAAGCTGGTGAAGGAGCTGCGGCCGCTCCACATGGCGCCGCCGTCCGCCGGCCGAGTGCGCCGCCCCGCCCGCCCCTTGCAGCCGGCCGCCCCGGCCGCCGCTCACGAAAGAGCCACCGCGCGTCGCCGCCACCGTCGCGGGGGAACGAACGCGCCGCGCGCGGGCCGCCGACCGCCCTGCATGCTCTCACCGCCTACACCTGGCGCCGCAGGATTCGCCGGCCGCCGCTTCCGGGGCCCTGGCCGCTGCCGGAAGTGGACGCGCGTGCGAGCCCCTAGGAGCGGTAATCGTCCCAAACTGCGCACGCGCTTTCAAAAATCGGAGCGCAGTTGTGACGTCACCCTCCCGCGCCGTCCTCCCAGAGTGCCCCGCGGGAGCTAGGCGCTTGACTGTATTGAGGGGGCCTCAGGTGGGCGGCTGCATAGGTGTGCGCGTAGCTAAGTGGGGTGTAGGGGTCTGCAGGGTACGGTGGTTGCGCGGGAGGCCGATCCTCGCCCCGGGGCCAGCCTCCGCCACAGAGGCGACAAGCAGGCGCGTGGGGATGGGGGCTGGAGCGAGAGCAGGAGGGGCGGCGCAGAGAATCTGCTGGTGAGTCTGGATTGTGTCCAAAAGTTAAGAAAAGAGACATAGCCACCTGATAAACACCTGATTTCGCATGTGTGTGGGGGTGTTGTTACAGTGTTGATCACAAAAATCGGAGTGGTCAAAAGGCGAGCAGACATTCATTCCAGAACTTTAGTCTCTTCTAAAGACTAAGGTGCCACACAGCAGTAGGTCAGAAACTGAGTTGGCCTGTCTTGATGTAGAGGCTGCGTTTGCTAAAAAGCACTGACTTTTGTGGGTCCTGCAGATACACAGTGCATAAGCGAAGGTAGGGTGAAGCTCAGCAGACTTGCCTTCATGTTGTGTCCCTGCTTTATTACCTTAAATTTTGACATAGATTCCCTCTCAGCTTTGCCCATGTGCACGTTAATCACCTGAGGAGTATCTGTGTAAACTAGGATTATTAGTCTCCAAATTTTATCTAACCTATTTGATCCCACTTCATGGAAGAAACCAAGCTAAGAGTAGCTAAGAAACTTGCAGGATTTTCAGGGACATTTAATTGCCAAAACGACCTGCTCTGAACTCTTCTGGGGCACACCTGGAAATCTTCAGTCATCACCCTAAACTTCAAGTCACCTTCAGCTCCAGGAATACTGATAACCATAATGAGATGGCTCCTAAGCGGGAGCAATTTCTCCTTGACAGGAACTGAGGCTTCTGGGCCCTTGCGCTGGAGCCATCAATTCATGGGAACCGGAGTTCCTTTGGGCCCCAAGGACTCTTCTGGAGCCGCCTTGCAGAAGCAGAACCGGGACAGTGATAACCAGACCAGAGTTGACTGTGTTACTGTGTAATTATGCACACTTGCTCTCGGCCTCAGTTCTTTTTCTGTATAAACTTAAGAGTGGCCAGTCCGTCTTCCTGAAGTTGTGGCTAAGGATATCTGCTCCCCCTATATTCCCCTTGTAGCTACAATAATGAAACTTCTTTCTCGTTTAATGATTTTTGGGGGCAACTGATTTCTTGGGATCTCCAGAGTCCAGCCTCTATCTTAGGACTCTAGTAGCAGCCAGAAGGAACAATTTTGTGGACTCTTAAGAACAGTTTTCAAGTTTGAGAAGCAGGAGTGTCTAATGCGCTCTTGATGTGGATGATCCAGTAGGCTTGCGAAATTTACAGCCCTCTGCTCAGTATCCATTTTCAACTGCTGAAATCACCTCGATCGTGCTCGTCTTCCTACAGAAGGCTGCTTTTTGATTAAAAAAAATTTAAAAAAGCCCAGGTCCTGCCCGACCTGTGCCCTACAATGTTTCGTGTTACAATATGAATCCAATGTAGGGACAAGCACTTTAGTTTTTTGTTTTTCTTTGCGATGGGGTTTCTATATATAGTCCATGCTGGCCGTGAACTCACTGTATATCCCATGCTGACCCTAAACTTGCAGTGATCCTGCTGCCTTATCCTCCTGAATGCTGGGAGTAGAGGCACAGGCCACTGTGCCCAGCCAGGGACAAGCACTTTGAAGGAAAATACAAAATTCCTTAGCATGAGATGGCCAGTGCCCACTCCCAGGGTCTAGGAAGAAGGAAACTTACTTCACTTTTGAGGGATCTGTGGGTGGCACCTCATGTTTTTGGTGGAAAGGCATCATTTCAGCCTGTGGTAGGGACCTGCTCTTCCCATTTCTTCCAGAGAGTTGCCAAAAGCAGGACCTTGCTCTGCTGGAGTTGCTGGTGTCCTTGCTCTATTCTCTGTGGTGGAGCCTGGGCTACTGAGTCTCCAGCACCCATGGATACATCATCAAAAGTATCCTTGGGCATTAACTGAAACATCAGTGCTATTGCTCAGGGGTTTCAGAGGCAGGAGGGGCTGTGGGGAGGGGGTCATGGGAACCAGCTTTTTCCAAGCAAGTGGAGGGATTAGTTGCAGATTTAGTAAAGGGGCTGAGGGTGGGGATGGTCGGCCAGCAGAGACTCCCTGCACCACACACTCACATCCCAGGTGTTTTTCAGCTACAGGATCTGTTCATAGCCCCACTGGTATCAGTGTTGTCATGGTGTCTAACCAGACTGCTTCCCTCTAGTTGTACTGTCCTGTCAGAAAACCCTCAGGGACCTCCTTTCACCCTGAGGGACATTCTTCCTTAGCAGGCTCCAAGCTTTTTTTCGAAGTGTGCCTGCTGTCCTCCACAGTGCTGTCCTGTGCCCATGGGGCATCTTGTCCTATTCTGAAGTGCTCTTGAGACCCCTGCATTGGTTGCATCTCCTGCTGCAGTCAACTGTAGGCAATGCCAGCTCTAAGCATGAGGGCTCGGGAAGCTGGGGCCTGCGGGGTCTTGTGGCATCTAGGTGGCTTAGAAAGGGCTGCAGAGCCCTGGGAGCTCTGGGATGGGCCATCCCCCAATTTCCTCAAGTGCCTCATTTTCCTGTCAGGGTCCAGGCTGTTCTCAGAGCTGGAATTGGATCCGTGCTGTTTCATTCTGTGTGCATCCTTGGTGAACCCAGTGGGCCCTGGGGCTCTCAGAGGAGGGACTTTGCAGCAGATGTGCTCCTTACAGGGTGGGCTGACCATGTCCCCTGCCCCACTCTGTTCAGGTTCCACAGGAGGACAAGGACAAGGTGCCTGTCTCAGTCTCCTTGGGACTTTGACCTCTGCTGAGCCACGTCACAGTTGTTACTCAAGGGCTAGAAAGCAGAAATCTTACCAACGCCTTTAAAGAGCACCAGAGGTGGTGCTGTTGGGCTCCCAAAGAGCCGTACACTGGCTCCTCAGTGCTTCAGCCTTGCTACACAGCTCAGTTCCCAGAAGGTGGTCTCTAGGCTTTGCTGGCCTCCCTGATCCCCAAGGCCAGCCTGTTTCTATGTACTGGGCAGCAGACGCACAAAAGGCCCACTGACTGACTGCTTAGGCAGCAGGAACTGCTGGGCCCCGCCCCGGCCTTAACTTCACCCTGTGATCTGAGGCTAGTGCTGGCAGCCGTGGGTCAGTGGCTCTCTGCCCTGCTGTGTTCTATGGATAGCTCAGAGAGATGCCGAAGAAATGTCTGCTTGCAGATTGGTGGCCGTAGAGTGGAGAGTGGCTCTCCTGGCATTCAGATCTGGATGTTTAGATTCTGCTGGCTCAATGCTGGCTGCAGAACGGTTGCTGCTGGTCCTCCAAGGCAATTGCCCTCATCGACGGTCCAATTCCCCAGGAGGAAAAATCAATGAGATTGTGGGTTTCTGCTGTAGCACACATGAGCCCTGTGATTATCGTACAAAAAGTCGGCTGGCCTCCCACAGTGGGACTTAGTTCTGTGGGCTTTGCTGTTACCTCAAGAAACTTATTTTTGAACAAATAATAGATGATATTCTCTGGCACCCATGGGAGCTAAACAGCTCCTGACAGCTGGTGAGCTCTCAGAGGCGGCTCTTCCTGGGCAGGTGGGGGAGCCATTTGCCAGGCTGTTCCACCCAATCTCCTGCTGATCCCGGGGTGCCAGCTTGCTTCTGCTGTGGCTGTAATTGCCCCCTTGATGAGCACGGTAATGACGGCCTGGAGCTGCCAGCATGAGTGCTGGAGCCAGAGTGCAGAGCACTTTCCCCGCCATGGAAAAGCCTCTGAAGGGCAAGGAGATGTGGCTGGGGACAAGGGCGCTTACCTGCCCAGGCACTCACAGGAAGCAGAGCAGCTATTCTGGCATGGGGTGCACCTGAGAGGAGGCACATGAGGACCCCTTCCAGTGGGCCCACTCAGTGGCTGTGGTGACCACAGGGCAGGAATGCAGGGCTGCAGTTGGGTGGATGAGGAAACTCAGGCAGGGAAGGGTTTTCACCAAACCCACACTGGGGTCCAGCGATGACCCCACAGAGCTGCCCACCTGCCCTCAAAAGTGTGCTCAAAGGCAGCACTGCCTGAAGGGTGCAGGCCCCAGGCCTCTGGCTGCCAGGAGGAGGCAGGCCGCAGGCAGGGTGCCGGGTCAAGGGAGGTTCCACAGGGACAGGTGGGCAGCCCTGATGGCTGTGTCTCAGGTCCAAGGGCAGAGGGCCTCCTGCAGGACAGAGGGAGAAGCAGGGGGTCCTTAGTAGTGTCCTCTCCTCCTCTAAAGATGGGGACACAGTACCCGGCCACATTCAGCCACAGTGGCCCTTGGTGAGGAGGGGCTGGTGGTATGGCAGGAGGGACCATGGCAGTGGCTCCTACTGGAGATGGGCAGCGGCTCTGGTTCCGGGGAGGCTGCAGCATCGGAGGGACATGGAACAGGGCGTCTTCCAGGACCGACCCTGACTACACCATGCCTGCTTGCACAGCACCACAGGAGGGCTCCCGGGTCAGGCCACGTGCATGTAGAGCTCCTGGCAGGCTTTCTGTAAGTGAGATGTCTCCAGGTAGACAGGTCTTGTCCCTGGGATAAGCTGAGTGTGAGGACTGCACCTGACTGCTTCCGTGTGAGCTGGGGCACAGTTATGTAACTCACAGCACTGGGGCCAAAGTGAGGAGACGAAGCTACCTGCAGGGGAGTCCAGTGCTGTGGAGGTGGTGGCACCAGCACAGGGGATCAAGGGCAATCTCTGGCTTTCTCGGACCATGCCGGCAGAAGGATAAGTCCAGCCCTGGTGTCAGACCCTCTTGGCTATGAGGGAGCCTGGCCAGGGTTCCTTGTTGCTGTGGGTTTCCAGATGGGAAGGCAGGGCATCCTCTTCGTAGGCTGGGGCTCCAACTCGGGTCCTGTGGGCAGGCTGCTTCCCATTTAGGCCGTAAGGCTCCACCCTCAAATTCTCATGATTCTGTCTCTGAGCTGGTGTTTTGCCATTGAGGTCTGCAGGGCCAGGTGGGTGTGAGCAGCATAGAGATGCAGTGCTCATGCTGCCTGCTCCATGGAGCCTTCATGGCACCCAGGAGGTAAGAGAGGCCCGAGGTGTCCTCTGGAGTCATGCGGCTGAGGCTGGAGAGGCCAGCTGGCATCAGGAGGCTGTGCCTTGTGCTGCCTGTGTTGAGGCCTGGACTTGCCCACCCCTGACTGTCCTGGCCTTCCCTGCTGAGCACGTGATTCTCCCCACTCTTGTCTGTCACTGGTGGACAATTATGCTGCTCTTCCCCAAATTTTCCTGAGAAGATGCTCTCGGCCCCCAGGTCCGGCAGACTCGTTCGTGGTGAGTGTTGGCCTATGCAGTGCAGGACATGGCTTGGATCTGTGGGCCTTTCCTAGAGCCCACTGTCTGGGCTTCTGAAGCCCTTTTGTCCCAGAGGCTCCACGGTCTCTAGACTTTGGCTCTCGCCTCATGGGCACAGAATCCATGAACCCACTGCAGGATATGTGGGCAAGGACAGGCAGCGTGTCACACCTACAGCTGGATAGTGAGAGCCTTCATTCAAGCCAGACCTCAGGCAGAGAGGGCCACAGGGGCCAGGGCACAGGGCAGAGAGGCAGGGACAGGTGACAATTTCGAGGTGGCTTCCGAGGGACATTGTGAGCGCAGACTGCCTCTGACACCCAGCAGGGCCTCTGCAGACTCAGGGTGCAGGTTTGATGCACACATAAAGGTGAATGTCAAGTCCATGATGCTGACTCTAAATTTTGGGGTTTTTAAGTAAAAAATTAAATTGGCCCAGGATAATTGCACACTGTTGGGAGCCGTGGCACTGTCAAGTCATCAGACGCGGTGATTGCGAGGCCTGTGGGAAAGTACAAAAGCCTGAGCTAGATTACCCCTCTCATCGAGCCCGCCTGTGTGGCACCTGTTTCTTATCACCCCACTAAGTTCCCGCCTCACAGGGTAGTCTGCCTAGCTATTAATCCTATATATAGCCAGTGCCTCCACCCCCGAGAGAGAGACTGAAGCACGGAAGGAGCCGCGGGGAGCGGACCGGTAGAGGCTTCGGGGCAGACTGAAGCACGGAAGGAGCCGCGGAGAGCGGACCGGTAGAGGCTTCGGGGCAGACTGTATAAGGAGAGAATAAAGAAAAGCCTGACCACCGCCAGACCTTGTCGTGTGTCTTTCCTGCCGGCCGGGAGCGACATCGACAGCACACTTTGTGGGGCATCACATGAGACTCTTGACAAGCTGTGTTGTGTCCAGGTCAGCTGTCTATGTCTGTCTTCTGGGATACTGATCATTACTATGTGCTGAGAACTCTCTGAGTCCTATCTTCCAGTGTTCGGGAATCCAGTCACCCTCCCTGCCTGCAGTCACTATCCTGCACTATGGCACCCCAGGGCTTCTTGCTCCTGTTGTACCCGTGGATCAACCTCTCCCCTCCCCAGTATCTGGGAGCCACCACTCCATTCTCAACATCTATGAGATCAACTCTCTTAGATTCCTTGTGTGAGTCCCATCTGGAGCATCTGGTCTTTCTGAACCTGGCATCAGGACTGTGATCCTCCTAGTTCCAACCATGCTGTCACCAGTGACCAGATTTCACCCTTTTTATGGTTGAATTGTGTTCCATGATGTGTATTTGTTACTGTTGCTGTTGCTGAGGTGAAATACCCACCACCTGTGATTTAAAGGATTCATGGTTCCAGAGGGTTCAGTTCATGGAGAGCTGGCTCCAAGGCAGAAACGGCCTGGTGGAGGAGAACTGCTCATCCCATGGCGGCTAGGAAGCAAAGAGGGAAGGGAGGAGCTGGGGACCAGAGCACACCCAGGCCATGGATCAGTGACTGCTTCCACTGAGGCCCCACCTCTGAGTGTGAACCATAGGGGTACATTTTGGATGTAGACCCTAAGATATAGATCAGGTTCTCCTTACACATTCATCTGCTGATAGGCACCTTGTGGGCCAGTGCTCTGTCCTGGCTGCAGTTCACTCCATGTGGGTGTCCCTTCCAGTCCATGATCTCTTCTGTGGATCTGTGCATAGATCTACATTGAAGTTTTAGAGAAGGCACCACACTTTTCTGTGATGGTAGATTTTTCCTTGTTGAGAATGTCATTGAACAGTAAAAAGCAATGCTGTTTGAGGGAGAAACCGCAAGAAGAGAAGCTGTGCAGTTGCATCCCTTTCCACCTGCATCTTCAAGAGAGCCACTGGGTTTTCATTTGGCTTTGGGTCCGGTTAGTGCACCAGCAGGTCCTGCAGAGGCCTGCCGAGAATGCTCCTCAGCCCTGAGCCGGGTGGCACCTGGTTCCCCCTTCCTTGGCCAGGTGCACCTTGCAGAGGTGCGTGGATTGGTCCCCTCAGAACACCAGGGACATAGCACGCTGTTCTGGAGGTCTCCATTTACATTCTTCCTCAGCACATTTTGTTAGAAGTCTACCTGCCTTTCACCAGAGGTCTTGAGGTTTTCTCACCAGTCTCTCTGTGCAGCTGATTCTATGGGACAAGAGTTGATGTCCTGACGCCTCCCCATTTTTGGAAGACAGTTGGACATGGCTTTTGGTGTCATGTGGCCCACCTCCCCCCACCTGTGCATGCATCTCCTTCCTCTCTTGATGTGGCCCACCTCCCTCTTCTTCCTATGTATAGTCCACCTCTGGTGAGTTGGAAACTGGCGGTCAACTTGACACCAGCTGACCTGAGTCAGCATGGTGTCGAGTGTTCAAGGCCCACCTGAGGACTGTGCCAGCATAAAAAGGAGATGTGGAGAGGAAGAAGAGTGTTGTTCTTCAGGAGCTGTTGGTTCTCTTGTTGCCGTGGTTCTCCTGGAGGTGCCTGCTGAGCTGCTTTCCTGATGTAAACTTGGCTGTTCTCATCATCAGAGGAACTTGGGACCTTACCACCAAGAATGGCTGAGGTCACTTTGGGGGAGCTCTGGTTCTCACATTGAGCATTGCATCCTGGGTCCAGCGGGAAAGATGTGTGCTGTTAATTCTCCAGGAGAAGCTTGTCACACTGGCTTTCTGATTCGAGCTTGGCTGTGCTCACTGCTGGAGGAGCTCAGGACCTTGTCGTCATGAGGATGACTGTGGTACTTTTGGAGGAGCCTTATTTTGCATATTACTTCTTGGCTCCAGTGCAGATCACTTAGCCCACTGGCACAGATCTTCCACCCCTAGCACAGACTTTGTAGCTTCCACTGCTGACCTTTGGGCCTTCCCAGGGCAGATCCATGAAATATACTTGCGTGAGTCATTGTTGTGGGCTCAAGGCCTCCAGCTGAACTTGTGGGAGATGTTGTCATAGGCTCTAGGTCTTCAGGACTCAGGCAGGATATTGTGGAATCCTTGCCCTCAGCCGAATTCTCTAGGTCTGTAGTGTGTGGACAGATTTCCTGTATCTTCTTTGCATCTGACTCCTTCGGTGACCATTATAAACAATACTGTAAGTTATGTGTCCTGTATTGTCTTGTTCTCGCTGGGCACCCCGGACTACAACTTCCTCCCTCTCCCCATGTGGACCCCACCTTCCCCCACCTTCCTCTCCCCACCTGGTCTGCCTCCTTTCTCTCTCCCTGTGATCCAGGGTGGCTGTAGCACTCACAAAACCCCCTTGCCCTTCCGAGTCTCTTAGTTAGACTTCTACATTTCTCAGGTTCACACGATGTATCTGTCATAACATGATGCTAATTTTCATCTCCACCAACAACCTGTAACAGGCCCCCATTCATTCTTACCAGCATTTATTATATTTTGGGACCTTACCACCAAGAGAATGGCTGAGGTCACTTTGGGGGAGCTCTGGTCCTCACATTGAGCATTGCATCCTGGGTCCAGCGGGAAAGATGTGTGCTGTTAATTCTCCGGGAGAAGCTTGTCACACTGGCTTTCTTTATATTTTGTGTTCTTCACAACAGCCTTCCTGACTAGAGTGAGATAGAATCCCATCTGCATTTTCCCCATAGCAAAAGAGTCAAACATTTACAAATTATTTTGTTTTATTTATTTATTTATTGTCTTTTTGAGACAGGGTCTGGCTATGCAGTTCAGGCTGGCCTTGAGCTCACTTTGTAGCCCAGGTTGGTCTTAAACTTGCAACAATCCATCTGCCACAGCCTCCCGAGTGCTGGAACGACAGGAGCGTGCCACCATGCCTGGCTATCAAACCTTTTTTTTTGTACAATTATGACCATTTGTACTTCTGAGAAGTATTTTCAGTTCATTTACCCATTTATTGATTGGGTGACTTGTTCTTTTGGTGGTTTTGAGTCCTTTATATATTCTGGATATAAACCCCCTCTCTGGTGTCAGAGAGTGAGTGAGGGGCATGTCTCCCCTCCTACACCATGGAACAGTTCAAAGAACATTGATGTTGGCTCTTTAAAGTTCTGCTAAAATTCAGCCAGGAACGTGTCTGGTCCTGGACTTCTCTCTTGAAATAGTTACAGCTGCTTCAATCTCATTGTTTGTTATTTAAGTACACAGGTTTTTAATGCCCTCTTGGTTCCATTCTGGTAGGTTGTATGTGTCCTGCAGTTTACCTGTTACTAGTAGGTTTTTCTGGCCGCTTGTTCGGTCTCTTGACCTCTTCAGCCCTCACTGAGTTCTGGTCCCAGTGGGGAAGGGCTGTGCTCCCTATCACTCTCAGCCCATCTTCACTTGGGGGGGGGGCTTCAGATGGTGACTCCGCTCACCATCTCAGGTGCATCCCCCAGCTCCCCCTGTCCTGGCCCTTGTCTTCACAGTGAGGCCACTGGGCTCTAGGAGGAGGAGCCCACTTGCCATCCTGTTGGGCTTCATTTGAGACAAAAACCACTGGGTCCTGCAGGTTGGGCTTGCATGACAGTGGCTATGCACCGTGGCTCTTCAGAGACAGCCTTGAGACCCGTGTGCACACCAGTCACAGTCACCAACACTGTCACTGTCACCATTACTGTCACTGTAGGGCCGGGCATCTGGACTTGCGTCCCATTCTCCCTGTTCTCCCTGACACAGGCTGTCCCTGCCTGGGCAGGGCCATAAGAAGGGCTACTCAGGCAATGGAGAAGGAGGGGACACAGCCCTGCGGGGGGGGGGCACTCGCTGTTTCCCACCAAGTTCTGTCCCCGCCCCAAGCCTCTGCCAGGATGATGGGAAAAAGCTTGGGTGGAGCTGATCCTGCTGCATGGACCCAGGCCCACTACAGGGCGCCCTGTGTGGAGGAGCAGAACGGGCCTGGAGACACTGTGTCTGCAGCCTCCTGGACTAATGACTTCAGAGAAAAGCCCAGGCTGGTTAATGTCACCTGTGTGTCAGATAAGTGCTCGGTCAATTCCATCGATGGCACTGGCTGGCAGAGCCAGAGATAATGGGCTTTGCCTTTTCTGTGGATTTGGGTGCATTGTTTTATTTGGAGCCTTTGGCTGAGTGTCACAGTAGACACCAGGACCCAAGCAGGGGGCTGGGCAGGACAGGACCAGAGCACAGTCACAGTGTTGCCACTGACTCTTCGGAGAACTCTTTAGGTGGTGTGGATATTTGGATTTTTGTTTAGATTTGGAACAGGATGAAAAGTCCAGAAGCAGAACCAAATATGTGGACGAGTTAAACTATGGTGAAGGCAGGGAAAGATAAACTTTTGGAAGACGATTTTCTTGGAACGCTTGTCTAGGCGCTTAGAGGAAGACACGACTTAATCGCCAGCTCCGGCTCAAGGCCAGAGCGACCCAACATGTAAGTGTGAAAGGAGGACATGTGTCTGGCTGGGAACATGGGCCCCCGACTGGACCTGGGGTGGGGAGGCCTTGCTGATGGCCCCTGGGGTTCAGAAGGACAATCAAGGATGACACTCTTCTCTTTGGAAGAAGCACACATGGACAACTCCCAGCAAAGGACGCCCGAGGGTTGGGGAGTGCAGCTGATGCAGCTGAAGAGGAGCCCAGCAGGGAGACCGAAGATGGAGCTGTGGGAGCCCAGCCATGTGACACTGGTTATGGATGGGGCAGGGCCAGGACAGGAGCCACAGCAGGGCCAGAGAAATGCAGCCGAGGCCATGGTGGCCATGCACAGGGCCACTGTGGAGGAAGGCAGCCTCCTTGCCAGTGGTTCTCGAGCAACTGGACAGCCACATGCAGAAATCAAACCTGGACACCGTAGTCCTAAGATGCAAAGGTGCAAACCTCT